CTGATCAGATGGGTTCGACTCTTGTTTGGGAGAGAATTCCCCTTTGAAGACGTTCTTGCTCTTTGGGACATTTTGTTTGCCGAAGACCCAGCACTGGATTTGGTAGACATGATCTCCGTAAGCATGCTTCTGCGTATACGATGGCAGCGTAGGTTCTACCTGATGCAGACTATGAAGATCAGTGTTGCTGACTATTCTAGTCCTTGAAGCAGACTATTCTGCAGCGTTGACACTGCTACTACGGTATCCTGTTCCCACAGCTCCCTGCGGACCGTCTACTTTCGTTGGAGATGCTTTGTATCTGCGCGAGAACCTCCTGCTTGACGGAGGCGACTACATTATTTCTAAGTACTCTAGGAGGGCACCTGAGACTACAGTGACACGCAAGCTTCCGAAGAAAGTTAGACGCGCAAGGACTGCGGAGCAGACAGCGGCTCAAAAGACGCTGCCTCCCCAGAAGGCTTTAAGTCCGCGACTATCGCCTGCTAGAATTCTGCAACATCAGGGTGGAATCGAAGGCATGATTCACGAAGCGGCTAAAGGTGTTTATAATCAAGGTGAGAGATGGGGAGTGGCTAAAGCGTTACGTGGCGCTGTGCAAGGCCTCCAGTCCGGCAATAACTCGCCTAGGCGACTACCGGAGAAGTCTCGATGGTCCCTCGACAGTGGCAAAATTATTTCTGACAGTCCAAAAGACTTGATTACAAAGATTCACTATCTTGAAGGACGCAACAAATCATTAGCAAAGTTGCTGGAGAAGGCCATGGAGGAACTTTGGACTCAGCAGAGGGAAATTAACCAGGAGCCAAATGAGACGACGGCAGATGTCTTGAGCTTAGCCATAGCGAAAGTGCAATTTGTGCAAGTCTACCTTGAGAATCCGACAATGCCACTGCCTTCCGAGAACCTTTCGCGCGAAGAGACAAAAGACGACGCCGCTGTTGAAACGGACGCGGGATTGACTTCATCAACTCCTGGATCGCCATCATGTCAGATCCAGAGCGACGGAGCGACTGATGAAAAGAGTGGCAGCGAAGGTATCCACACAGCTGAAACAGTCGATTCCTCTGTCCAGCGGTCGGCACCCGCTCCGGTTAAACCCCTTCCATCTACGCCCAATGTCGCCAGTCCGTCCAAAACCTCTGGTCTATCACCATTCTCGCAGCCTCGCCCAGCGCTTGCCCAGTCGTCTTTCTCCTGGATGCTAGGTGAAGATCAGCAAAAGTCCGGCTTCGTCTCTGCGTCGCCATTTTCATCGGAGAGATCAGACAGGCGGCGGAAAGGGGTCCAGCTATTTGGAGATGAGAAGCGGGAAGGCAGCAGGAACCGGAGAGGCTCAAGACCGAATGGTAACGGCGATAATAGCGATGATGATGGGGATGTATTTACTATGGGAAACCTCAAGGGAGGAAAGCTGAGGTGAAGACACCTCGTTCCCTTTCTTCCTGGCCGGTTGTTTCGGCTACTTGCCTGTTCATAGTTGGTAGAATTCGGAGAAGGTCTGCTCTCATCATAGACATTGTCTATAGATACCATGCCCAAATAGTCATGCGGAAAGATGTCTCCATGCCGGGAATGACTTTTTGGACACTGGTTTGCACCATATTCAATTTCTCCCGCCAATCTCATAAGCCAGCGGAGCCCGTGTGGCTTACGCTTCTGAATGGAGCCTTTCCCGTTGATTTTCATATGGAAACGGGAGGTTGTTGGAATGCTGGCGGTCCCGACATGATCAGCAAGCTGGTAAAAAGTGTTACATAGCATGGCACCAGTTCATGCAGACAATCCAGTGATCCAGTGTCTTGCATAATCTCCGCTCGATCAGGGGCTAAAATTGCAGAATAGCCGTGTAAAACAGTTTGAGCAGAGCGAGATTGGAAAAAATATGTTAGAGCAAGCGAGAAGCGCCGATAAGCACTAAGGTACTGAGGATCTAAGCCAAGCATTGGTCGATAAAGGTACCACCGAGATGTTCCTATCATGGGGACCTTACCGACGGATGACAGCGGTCTTTTTACGCATGGGGAATAAGGGTGTTTTTTGGCCCGGGGGTGGGGGGGGGGTGGGTGTAGAGAGACAAGATGAGACCTGAGATTGAAGCCTGCAAACGGAGTACTCTACAGCAAATGAATGATTTACGATGCGCAAGGATAGAAAGTTGATCGCTTGCAGACATGAGAAACAAGATTTTTAAAGAATGATTGATTATCATTATTATTATTATTATTATCATTATTATTTTTGTATCATTTGTTGCACAAAGGGGTGTAAAACGCAGAGGAGTAAGAAGAGGGTAGGAGCTGATCCCGGATTGTTTAGGGCTTTTCTCGGCTCCACGTTGCAGCTGCCTCCCAAATCATTCGCGACCGACTTCTCCATCTCCTCAACTAAATACCTAATCACAGGTTCCACAACAAGCAGTCGAACCTGCAGCAGGTACGTCCATCAACACTTCCCACCCATCCCCACCTTCAAAAAAATGCCATCTTTCTCTTCTAACAACATCATCTTCAATACAGCTTCCAAACACATCCAGCTTCAACAAACAATCCATTCGCCTCCAGAGCTCCAATTCGCCTTCGCGGATCATCAGCCGAGCTACCCAAACAATTACCACACCACACCACACCACAATAAGCAAGTCTTATTGTCACCGGACCTTCTTTGTACCTCGTGAGTAATTTCACTCAATCCGATATCGCTCTCGACTCCAACGCGATTCATCATTCACCATTCTCAATCACATCATCCGCCCAATTCCATCAATACCGAGCCTGACTCACACGCCGTGATCTAGCAGAGATACAACCATCCCAAACCTATCAACGACATGGCTCCTACCAGTACCAACACCAACTCTAGCATCGCTTTGGCCTTGGCTGGAATGACGGAGTCCGTCGACATCCTCAAGCCGTGCGACAACTTCTGGGCCGGCAAAGACAGCTTCGCTACCGTGGCCGCGAGATCTTTGCCGGTCAAGAAGAACACCGCCGGTCTTCCCACGCCTCCCAACTCCATCTCTCCTTCCCTTCCTCCCCAGGCCTACAAGGGCCGCGCTTCTACTGGACCTCTCACTCCTCCCGCTCCCACCCATGTGGACTCCGATATCGATCTTGAAGATGCTGTCGAGCACGCCAAGGCCCAAGACACCCCCCGGCGTGGTCTCACAGCTCGCGGTCTCAGTAAACTGGATGACTTGGATGCGGTTGGAGCCATCACTCCTGGCCTGCTTGCCAAGCACCACCTTCCCGCCATCCTCCTCGAAAACGGTCCCCTCGCCATCCGTCACGTCATGGGCTACTTGACCACCTCCGTCCCAGGCTTCTCTGGTATTCCTCCTGCGAAAGCAAGAAGGCTGGTAGTGGGAGCTCTAGAAGGCCGCGGCAGCGACGGCCAGCAGGGTGGTATCGATGGGAACGTGATGTTTGAAAAAGTCGGCTGGGGCAGATGGGATGCTCGGAGACGAGGACAACCCTCCCGAGAAGCCCGAGAAGCTCGCCAACACCAACCACCATACCCCCAAGGCAGTCTCCGCATACCAGTCACCAGCACGCGGCAAGACCGAACGCGAGAACAGACTTTTGCTGCCTCATATGATGCCGAGAAGGAGTATGACACCCCAATGGAAGACGTCAGCGTGCTTGAACACGAAGCAGACAAGATGTCCCTTGATGGCTTGGATGACTCCTGTTCCTCTTCTTCTCCTCCGGACACGAGGCAAATCCCAGACCACGACCTTGGCGACGTCACCGACGAAGAAGACTGGGCCTCGATCGGCGCCGCTGCATTACGGCAAGGCTCATACCCATTAAGCGGCGGCCTGATCCCTACGAATCACCAACGATACGCTCAACGCTTTAATCCGAAGAGCAGAGGCAGAGGAGCAGCGGGTCGGCCACCGGCTACAATGGCGAAGAGTATGCCGACTACAAACAGATTAATGTATAATAATAAACAGCAGCAGCAGCAAGCTGCTCATGCCTTGATGGGATTCTCGCCTATGCTGGAAAGCAGCGACGCCCAGGATAGGGAGGCCGTGGAGGCGTTGCTGAAGCTCAGCAGTGTGTGATCAAATCGGGGTCGGGCGTTCTGGACCTGGAATGGAACCTGGAGGGGGAATGACGGATGGGAGTGACGCGGACTTTGAGCACGCACGACTGTTGAAAACACATACGTCGGTTGTCGTTTCAGCTCGGTCGGTCATGGGGTTCTCTGGTTTCGGGCCTTTGATATATCTTATAATGCCTCTACATTCGGGGCTGGTTTATGCGTCTTTCAATTCTGTTATCACACGAAATACCCCACAACTACACAACTTTATATCTCTACTCCCACTGAATAGTTACTATTACATTCGACAAAGCCAGCGAGGTCGCGGCGACTGTATATAGTTCATGAAAGAAGCTTTTGAGACGAAGGCAGAGATGCTTGGATCTATCACAATACTTTGTACAGTATCATCACTTGCTTTCCGTGTGAGTGGTTACTCTTACAGCGTGGGAGAGGTAGCAACAGCTTGACGACTTTCCAACGCCGCCTACAACATACTCTCCGCAGCTCCACGCCAGGCTTTGTTGGGGGTGGAGACTGGAACTCACGAGAAGAAGAAGAAGGGCACATACAAGGTCGCCGCTGCTAAGAATCAGGTTATTCCGTGTTTCGCCGATAGGTTGCTTGCTACATAGGTGGAAAGGCAAAGAATTTAGGGAGGCGGATGGAGAAGATTGAGGTGTCGTTGTTGAGATGTCGCCGCGGTTGAAAGTGGGAGAATACTTGTAGAATACGGAAAAAGAATGGAGATGGGATTGGAAATCGGACACCGACTCCATCCCCTCCGGCAGAGACAGAAGGAACCCCAAGTGTGTGCGCCTAAAGAGGGCTTGTTTTAAGTTTGAAATGGTGGGTAGATAGATAGATAGGATGGGATGGGATGGGATGGGATGGGATAGGATAGATTTGTTATATATTAAAAGAAGGAAAGAAAAAAGAAAGCACCCCCATCACCATCCGAACCCTTCCTCCACGAAATCCACATTCCCACCCCCCTGCCTCCGCCTCACCGCGGCCCTGACGTCGTCCCCCAGCCCGCCGGGCCCGCACACGCAGACCGCCATGGCGCCGACCTGGGCCCGCGCCTCCATGCCCAGCAAGGCGTCCACGTCGGGCTTGCCCGGGAACATCCGGACCGTGGAGCTGGGGCTGTGGATCTCCGCCGTGCAGCGCGGGCGCGTGACGAAGAGCTGGACGCGCAGGACGTCGCGCCGGCCCGGCATGCCGAGCACGGCCGCCATCCAGGGCCGGATCCACTCGAGGTGGTCGGGCGCGCGGACGACCCAGGCGAGGAGGACGCGCCGGGCGGCGACGGTGCCGGCGGCGTGGCCCGCGACGAGGTCCCGCGCCAGGGCCACCTGGTGCGTGATGCCGACGCCGGCGGCGAAGAGCACGACGGTGCCGTAGGAGTGGAGGGCTTGGTGCGTGCCGCCGTAGGGGCCTTCGACGAGGGCGGGGAGGGAGACGCGCCGGTGGGGGCCGTCGAGGGCTTTGCGGTGGAGGCGGTCGGTGAAGCCGGCGCGGCGGCGGATGATGAGGGAGACGGAGGTTGGGGGGAGGGCGAGGGTGTCGGTGGTTTGGGCGGTGGGTTGGGAGGTGCGGATGCCTTTTTCGAGGTCGCCGGGGCGGAGGGGTCGGGGCGGGGCGTCGGACCAGGCGACGGAGAAGGGGTGGGAGGTCCAGAGGCCGACGGAGGGGATGGTGAGGAAGACGTGTTGGCCTGGTTTGAAGGTCCAGGGGCGGGCGGGTCGCAGGGTGATGCGCATGGCGTCGCCGGGGAGGATTTCGACGTCGGCGTTGGTGCCGCCGCGGCCGACGTTGCGGTAGATGAGGGAGGAGAGGCGGATGAGACGTTCGATGACCCAGGTTGAGATGACGGCTTTCAGGTAGGTCATCTGCTGGAGACCACCCAGATGGATCCATAGAGCGGCCATGACTAGAGAGACGAGAGCAATGTGGATGTGCAGGAAGGTCTCGTAGAAAGCATGGCGGAAAGCCGTCCAGCTCGTCAGGATTATGGTGCAGATTGAAACAAGCGCCTAATCCACCTATCAGCAAACGTGGGAAGATTAGGTGAAAAGTGAATGCTGGCCGTGACTCACAACCAATCCGAAGGTGATGAACCTAACCTCCTTCAGGGTCTCCGAGAACGACTCCCATCCAGGGGTATGGGTCTCCTGGCCTCTGATAACAATCGATGTTATTTCCACTACGCCGTGAGAAACTGCAAGGGAGGCGACGATGCGACCAAACCAGCGGTGCATCAGGTTGAACGTATTGTACGAGATATTAAGCCAGCCGATTAGAGGGTTATTCCGTCCGCTCATGATTACCAACGGAATCATGTTGACGACTGCAAGAGTTCCGGAGCGATTACGGAGGTGCTCCAGCTTGGTGATTATGGGGCCATTCCACTCAATACCGTGGGCCCAGAGGATGACGTTCATGGTGATGATTGACACAAGTAGCAAACACTGGAATCGGGTCGGCAGGATACCAGTTTCCACGGGTCCGATTCGCATCTGCTTTTGATGACGACGGCGAAATAATGGCGCATAGAGGAGATGTTGTTTGATCCAACCGAATTGCCTATTCGGCATCTTGAAATATCGTTGACTGTCGTTATTGAGGCATGTCAGAGTTCGAATATACTGCACAGAATGAATGGCGATTCGATATATGATCATGCTGATGACGATTCCTCCAAGGACGATTAAAATGTAATATGAAAACAGCATATTGTTGACCACGATGGCCGCAGCCACAGCTGGCGGATCAATTCCATCCATCCTCGCTTCCGGAGGAGAAATTGCGTGGAAAAGGACTTTGGATGATGATTTCTTTCGAGAGGCACGGGCCTGGGGTATTACGAGGTTCAAGGGACAGTGACCTCTTGTGATGGGTTTCAGGTCAAGACGAGATTACACAGTGTGAACGGCTAAGATCCCTTCCTGATTGTAGATTCTTGCATATGAGACTTTTCAATGGCAAACGCCCTTGCGCAGGGGTGATCTTCGACGAGGATAGACCAGTATTGGCTTTCCGTGAAGGACCTTGCGCTGTAACAACTTCCCGATCTAATGTTGAGGTAGCCTTCTCGGGTAACGACTATATGAATAACGGCTTCTGGCAAGAGACTCTTCCTTTCAATTAAAACTCTCTGAGGACGACCATGAGCGCATTGCTGGCTACGGGGGGGCGATCACCGTCTGTATAGGTCGTTTGTGAAACAGTGAGGCCTTGGATGTCTCCTCTGTCTGGGGGCCAACGGAGGTCAACGGCCGCAAGTACCAGCCGCAAGCGTGCGAAAGGATCAATTGTCGAATAGGATATTACGTAGGCGACGACGCTTCCTCCTCAGTGACGACTTGAAAATTCCACTTCGACAAAGGACCAGCTCTGTTTCTCGAAAACAAACACGCCTAGAAGAGAGGTCGACCCGCGGCCACAGGTCGGTCTTATAAATATAAGGAGCGTTGCTTCAAGGAAGCTTCTAGTCCTGTTCATGTAATGTTAGTGGGCACGTATTAGGCGCTTAACAAGAGCGGAGGCAAGGGAGCTCGGAAGAAAGTACTCTTGAGGCAAGAAGTGCGATGGCTAGTCTAATTGGAACGAAAAGAACAGGTGTCCGGACTGGACTATTTACCCTTTATCAGAGGAGTAAAAGAACAGAAAGACGTGTAAGACACTACGTTGCTAAGGAGAGCGCATCGTGTGTTAGAAAAATAGAGGCAGGAGGGCCGGCTCATGCACTGCTTGCGTCGTTGGACCGCAAGGAGTTGAACGAGCGACGGAGACGAAGGTGTAAGAGAAGTGTCTTGGAAAAGAGACCAAAAGATATCTGCAGGCTTGAGCCCACGGTGGCTGGCAATCTGTCGTACTCGTCGGTCCATATTGCCCCACCGGACCACCATCGTCAACAATCAGGGAGTTGACGTCCCAGGAGATGAAGATAGGGTAGGAGATACTCCTAGACGCCCCCCGTGCAGGCCCTAGCGCCCGCGCGGACCCTCCCTTCCTGCAGGTCAATACTGGCTGAAACCTTAGTGAAGCTTGAACCCAGATCTTGAATTGCGATTGGCCCAATTACACCGTAAACCGTCTCGTGAGCCCTGCAGAAAATCCAAGCCTCTGACTTCTCACCGTCCATACATGGACAAGGTTGCGACATTAATCTTTCAAGAACGTCGACGCGTATCAAAAAGTCACGACTTTGATATCTATCCACAGCCTCTTCGAAGCATCGAAAGAACCCCTAATACATGGCCTGATTGTAGTCGCACCGGTCTCACCATTGATGAACATCATCACACATATCGCACAGACCCATAAACGCCACAGTGCCATAATCAGACATTGCGAGTTTCATGGGAAGCCCAATTCATCGTCCATGTATTGGGAGAAAGTCTCCGTATCCAGTCGATGCCTATTCGTCCGTGGCATATCTAAACTATAGCTTTCAATGACTTTGTTATCATGCTTTCGGTCTGGAATTCCCTTCTTACCACCAGATGGTAGATTTGGTATCTCTCGCAGCGCAATAGGCTTTTCTTGTGATGATTCTGGCGTGGAAAGCTCATCGAGGTCATTTGCGGCGTGCACTTTCGAGAGAATTTGCGGGCGAGGGACCTTCTGGGGACGTGGGGATTCCCTGATGAAAAGTAGCTTCTCCGTTGAATTGGAATTGCCGTAGCTTCCTTCTACGTTCCCAATTTCACAGGAGTCACAGGAAGCCCCTCGCCCTAAATGTCTACGTTTTGGCCGAGGGAGCCGCCGGTCTGTGACGCAAGGTGATTGTGATTTTCCGGAGAGAAGAGGCAATGCTTGCACTAGCGTCAACTTCGGTGCCTCCCCGTAGGTGCTGTCACGATCGACATCTTCCACGGCGATAGGCCGTTGCAGTGCTAAAGCTGGAGTCTTCGCAATCCATTCGCATATGCCCTCCTCCCATTTGTATTCACTTTTGTTCCGCATGACATCTCGAGCTGGGGTTTTGTCTACGACAATACTGGGTGAGTCGTCGACCGTGCGTGTGATTGTACCCTCCACGTCTAAAGCCCATTCAAGATGTTTGGGCTGACCCGTATCTTCCGAGAATGCAAATGCTGCCGCATGAGCGATACCGCAACAGAATCTTCGAGTTGGCTTATCGTAGATATTGGAAGTGGCGACAGAGATTAGATCTTGGACCATGACCTGTACGAAGCGGAAGCCATCGCCTGATCCTGGTTCATCGCAACATCGTGCAACTTCGCCGAGAAATGAGCCCGCATTGCTCAACGACTCCTTGCTGGACGGCAGGCTGGCCAGTGCAGCCAGGTCAAGCACGTCATTCGGAGCGATCCCCGTGCCAGGTTTTCTCGATGTAACCGAGACCAGTCCAGCTGAGAGTAGAGGCAGATGTAACCATTTTTCTGGCACAGACCAGCTGCGATTGGCACACGAGGTGGCGTTAGATAATTCAAGGACTTGACGTATCTCTAAAGCCACATCCCGCAGTATCGCCACGCTCAAAAGGTTAGGATGACTTGAGTCCATTCCCGACTTAGCCGATCGAAGAATGTTGATAGCTGAAAGCACTGTCAGAACATTGGAGAAAGTAGATTGTAAAGCGTTGTCTACGTCGTCCAGTCGCGCCCCGGCTTCTCCTGATCCAGTGGGCTGACTTTCCGCGACCGTCTCCACTGCTCGGCTTGACTTGTAGGATCTGAGAGTGGGACGGACAGCAAAGGGTTCGCAGGCGTGGAGCCTCAGATCGTGAACTTGAGGGCTAGCTTTCGCATTCGAGACCCCTCGCCTGTATGATTTCGAGATTGCAATTTGAAGAAGCAAGGCGGCAGATCGAGCATGATCGTCTTGCTGTGTAATCGAACGGATCGCGCCATTCCAACATTCGATCATGGCCTTACTCGATATCCAGCCTACTGGGAGTATGCCATCTTCTAGCATCACTGCCGTTTGGCGATACATAAAGCCATGCCTGCCAGTTTGTGAGGCACAATACTTCAATGCACCCGCAACCCGAGAAGCCTCATCTGTCAGGAGAGTGGTTTGAAGTCGGTGCGATGTGGCCGACTTGTTAATAGGGTGAGAGAGTCCCGCGCAAAATACTGTACTCTTCTCCGGTGAAAGAGGCCGATATTTTAGTAGAGTGATCATGCATTCAATTACGCATTCGGCTTCGTCGTAGGCGGCGAGCCCAAGACATAAAGAAAGGATGTGGCAGGAGAGAGAAATCTCAATCAGACCCTCCTGGATTGCTTCTCCGACTAGGCTGACCCCGTGGGCTCTTACCACTTCTCGGAGAGACTCCCAACCACCGTCTGGCACTGAACCAAAAGCTTCGAGGTCGGTGTAGACTTCTGATGCGACGTCAATGTGATTTTCGAGATCCTCATCATTGGTCAGGCGTTGATCCTCGGCGATGTAACTAGGAATCTGCCTTAAGCAGATAGAGTAAAGTGAGCGACATCCACGATGGTCACTGGTCTTTTCGCAAGTAGTAGCCCTTAGTAATGCTTCGAGTGCCTTGCATATCCCCTCTATGAGTCTTCGATTACCCAGTCCAGCCGAACCATCGGAGCCCAGAACTTGAGAATTGTGGAAGACTTGCACGTTCTTCGATGTACCGCGAGGGTCTCTAGGCAGTGCTCTTTGACCTGGTATATCATGTTGACCGTCTTTGGCGGCCAAGTCCTCGTCATTGCCTCTGACTTGGCCTGCCGTCAAACAAAGAGGCAATCGTATTGCAGCATCCGTTGATTCTGCAAATGCCCGGTCTTTATCGATGTCCACGAATTCTCGAAACGACCGAACCTTCGTTTTTGATGAATATGTACGCCTAATCTTCTTCCAAGGTCTTGGACTATTCTCCCATTCAACGTCAACTTTCGTCGCAGTAGCTGAATTCTGGTAGGATGATGATGGGGCGATCCCAGAGTTCCGTTCATCATGCCTGAGTTCAGAAAGTGTAGCCTTGCGCAAGAGAGCAATCTTGGAGGAGAGAGGGCGAAGAAGCCGATTGCATCGAGCAGAAGTCCATGGGGCTTTTGCACCTGTAAGACATCAGTACACAGAAGATCAATAGGCTATCTATCCAAGCTCACTTTCGTTCATGCTCTGCTGTTCCCGAGTTTCAACCAAGATATAGTTTCTCCAGGATCGCAAAGGTATTCCAGCACCAAGCTGTCTGTAGCAACTGTAGCGAGGTCTGCAGCTAAAGTAATACAACTAGAACTGTGTAGTCACATCAAAGGAAAAAGCTAAAGCAATGCTGTTATGGAGCTGGCAAGTATGTTGAAGGAGTCTACCGGTCTCACTTCTGTGTTTGGGTGTCGGGTAAACAACGCGGGGTAAAGTTCTTCCGCCCGGCGGTAATGCCAAGCCCGCTAACCCGTCATCTTTGCAGCAGAACGAGATGGGCCTCCTCCTTAGCGATACTTCTAATCCCTTTGGTCAGCGAGTGTTCATAACTCTTACACCCGATCCTTTGGTAACTTCTTACCCGATTACCCAGACCCAAATGTGATTCTGTGAGGAAACATTCCAGAGGCAAGCAAATGTGGTGGCGATGTGGAGCATTGGAAGCTTGTATGAAGAGACAAGAACCGACTCTCCATCCTCCATCATCCAGACTTGGCCCGTGGCGCCTTCGCTTACCCTGAACTCAAGCAGATCCTGCTATGATGGTACATGTATGTTTGTGTATCTCACGGCCCGTGCCTCTCCTGACGCCGTCTCAAGTTCGTCATTGAGTGTCTCCCTTTCTGCTGCTCGTCCTTTTATCATCCTCTGATTTTCCATGTAGAAGCAAGATATTGAGCAATGCCTTCATCATCAAAGATAGTTGCTTAAGCATGTTGTGAAAAGCTTGAGGGTGGTTGGAACCATGGCTACAAAGATTAGCTTTCCCACAAGAGGCAAATATACCAGCTTGTGACGCCTTCAGCACATCATACCTTCTGGGAAATGCCTTGAAATCTGCGCCTCTGATTTTTATTCAAGTGCCGAACGGGCTTTGTCTACATGTACCCATGACTATTCATTGCTATGACCCTCAGTGTTTCTCTTCCTTCTATATCACCGCTCTTCATTCTCTTCTAGACAAACATAACGCACCGCAATGTCTTCTACATCAACCCCAGGGCCGTTCCCGCCGGATATCAGTCGTGCATCTGAGCTTCTCGTTGTCAGATGGCTGACTCTGTCCATTGCGGTATTGCTCGTGTCTCTGCGTTTCTATATTCGAGGCATCATTCGCAAGAACCTAGGCTGGGATGACTTCACAATTTTGCTAGCCATTGTTAGCTACCTTCAGTTTGGAGTATACCAGTAACCTTTCACTGACAGCTGCGCTTAGGCATGTGCCATTGCTCAGAGCATATTCTCTTGCCTCCAGGTTCAGAGCGGGTTCGGTCGAAACATCCACTATCTCACTCCAGTCCAGATACAACACTTCGGACTATACACCGACATACTTATCATGCTTCTCATTATCGGCACAGGGTTGGTCAGGATTTCAGTGTGTCTGTTCGTCCTCCGTCTCCTGCCTGCCACCAAGATGGCCTATCGCAGGTGGAATTGGGGACTGTTGGCATACTGCGCCATCGTCACACTTGCGGATTTCCTTGCCCAATGTTTTCAATGCGTACCGCTTCCAGGATTGTGGAACAAAAGCGTGAAAGCACGATGCTTCGCGCCAGCTCATATGACCCAGATCACCAAGTTTCAGGGCGGTGTGTAACTTCGAGCCGATTCCACGGTCTCATGGACTCACACAAACGTAGGTTCGGCTGTCATAACGGACATCCTCTGCGTACTGTTGCCCATGTTGGTCCTCCGAAATCTACAGGTCAGTCAACGGGAAAAAATAGCTATCTTCGTTGTCATAGGATTTGGATTCTTGTAAGCCGAAAAGAGTTGCTCGTGAGCCTCTTCCGTCAGACTGATCTCTGACTAGTACCGCCGCAACCGCCATTGCTAGAACTTCACTCGTTGATTTTACAAGCAAGAACCCTACTTGTAAGCAATTGATCCCGCAAATCTTTAACGCAGGTATCTAAGTACAGCTTAGGGGATCTCATTCCCGTTGCCATTTGGTCTTGGTAAATTCTCCCGTCCTCTATTGGACACCCACCCCTTCACCCTTTAATACTCTTTACCCCTTGCGTTTCTTTTCTCATTCCTTCCAACACCACTAATCCACCCCAAAAGCCTCGAACAAAACATCGGCGTAAGCGTCGCCTCCTTGCCAGCCCTGCCCCAACTCCTCAACATCCGCAAACAGCCATATCCATCCCGTTCGTCCGAAGGATTCTGCAACCACCACCACCACAACACCCGCCCCCCTCTCAATGCCTTCGCCATGATCTCAGACAGCGATCGTATCCGCCTCCCCAACGATGTTTCCTCCACTGAAACCAGCAGCCGCGAGGAATTGTCAACTCTAACGCCAAAGATGAGCGATATCGAAAGCTACCGCGACACAAGAGCGAGCCTGATAAGTCTCAGCATGGTCTCCCCGCCCCTCTGGACCGACCGCAAAATCTCCTCAGCCGAAACGGTAGAGATGAGCCGCGTGTCTCCAACCCCGACCTTCGTGGAACGCAAACCCTCATCGAGGGAAAAATTAAGACTCAGCATGGTGGCCCCGTCCTGGGGCCATAAGAAAACATCATCCGCGGACAAGGCATACAGCCCGAACAACAGAAGGCTGAGCATGGTCTCCCCCTTATCCCTGGATCGGCCGCCCTCTCCCTTTTCCGCCGCAAGGGTGCAGCAGCTCGGGAAGTTCGAGGAGACCGGCTTGCGGCACTCACGGGTCGCGACGCCGGAGGAAATGGTGTCGTTGGGGAATCAGGCGGCATGTGGGTACTCGTGCACGATTGAGGGGGGCACACCGAAGGGGACGCCGTAAGTCGTCTCCGAAGCAGTCACCGAAACTTGCGCCGAAGTGAAGGAAGGTGGTCAAATGCAGTGGGGTCACGGCGGTTTTTTTCAACTCAAAACATGTAATCTCAGCCGCTAGCTAGAACCCGCTTTTGTTCAAATCGCTGAAGTTGTAGCGACGCGCCATTTCAGAGTAACATTGTGACACTAGGACTTGGAGATCTAAAGAGGCTCTAGAGTTTCACAGGCCATCATTCTCCACACATGTACCCAGGCTCTCGTTGCAGAAAGATTTGAATATATAGTAAGGCCGATAAGTGTCAGAATCAACTAGTACTAGTACCTCGTCGAACGTCAGAAGTACAGCCACTCGTATGCGACGTAGCTAGCTATAGCCAAACAGCACAGACGCATGAACCTTGCACAACAACTTGCAGCAGCTTCTACATCTCCGAGTGCACGAATCACTACCATCCAAGCCCCTGCTGAATTCAAACAACATGAGGTAACGAGATTGTATAGGTGGAACACGGCCCCTAGCGTAAGTCTTCTAGCGAGCTGGAAACCATTAATTTTCTGGGCATTTGTTTACCCGATGTTCAAAGGAAACAAGGAGAGAAACCTCGAATGGGTATAGCGCTTCGTTGCGTCGTGGTGACGCCGTCACGAAGGTCAATTGCCGGCGAGTTTCCCGGCAGGCAAGTGCGAACACCTTCCGTGGAACCCAGTGAGAACTCACTCAAACTGGTAGTCAGAGTCACACCTTCCCTAGTCCAGTGAACCAATTATGGGTGAAATTATGAGTGGTATTTGCGCGGGAGGAAATGCTATGTATGTGCTCCCGGCTATGGTACATGCCTCCGAATCTTGATGCGAGAAAGCGTTTCTATGGAAATCCAACCCATAAAGCTCGATTGGGGAAGAACGTGTGCATATACAATATCTTTGAAAAGCGATAATGGCTCTGTACACAAAGGGGCTGATCCTGTACAGAAAGATGGGACGCTATTTCGTAGAGTACATAAAGAAAAGCAAAACAATCACGCTGTGCAAACTTTTCACATCCTCCAAGGACGACTGTTGTGCATGTGAAACTCCTATGCCCGAGGGATACTGTCAAAGCGGACTCTCAGGCCTGAGCTGCTCCGCCACGGCGCTTCGGATTGCTGCGAGTCGTCCGCTTCTTTCCTGTTGATGATTTGGAAATTTCACCACCACCCTCAACGATTTTCACCAGCTCGTCGATGCTTCGAGAATCAAAGGTGTTGCTACTCCTTGAACTGATATCACGACCGCTAGCCAAATCCGAATTAGACTGGCCGACTGGAGGCTGCGGGCGGGCTCCCATGGTGGTCACGCGCGGGTTGAAAACCACTCTTCGCATTCGTCGAGCTTGCACGTCCTTTGCATGCTTGGCCATAGACACGGCGTTTTGGGTGAGCTGTTCGAGCCATTTCTCCGATTCTTTGGTATTCGGATCATTGGGGCCGAGTTTGACCAGGAATATACTGTAAGCTTCGCGCATACGGTGAACAGCGCCTTTGTGGTCTTGGTCTAGGACCAAGGCTTGCGCTAGTTGGAAGAGGAGCGTGGCAGTATTGACCGATTGTTTTCCTGACACTTCCTCGCTTATGGCAAGCGATGTTTCAAACCATTGGCGTGACTCTGGGTAGAATTGCAATTGCTGAAGCATGACAGCTGCATTATTGAGTGTGGTGATGGAGTCAGGATGTTTGGAGCCGTAGATGATTTTCCAAAGCTCTAAAGCGTGTCTTACGCATGCTAATGCAACGGTTGTATTGCGGTTACCGTGTTCGAAAAGAGCGAGGTTGAGGTAGCTCAGGATCGTCTCATTTGAATCTATGCCAAGGGTACGTTCTGAGATGATCACCGCTTTGTGGGCCAACTCGATAGCAGCGCTCTTTTCGTCAAGCTGGTAGTAGAGCATCGCCAATTGATGGTATACTCGAGCCACTTCCGGGTGCAAAATGCCATATATCTGTTCATGCAAAGTTAGCGACTCGAGAAGTAGCTCCTGACCAATTTCTTTTTGATTCTGCATCATTGAGATTTTGCCGGCTTCTAAAGCTTCTTCGGCAAGGATGCTCTTTGGGCAGGCATCTTTGATGATCGGTACCATGTTTGCTATGTCTCCCGGGCTGAACGTCGATTCTTGGCTTGGGGTGTCCGAGCCGTTTGTTACTGGAGAGGTGCGACCACCGGTTTTCTTCTTTTTCTTCCCATTGGCGTTGCCATGAGCATGACCGTTCATTCCAGAATGATTCGCGGTCCCATCCACAACTCCATTGGCCTGTGGCTTCGACTGCTCAGTGTTCGTTTGGGTCTCTGAAGTGAAATGGTATTCCCGGGCGGTCAGCTGCAATCCAAGCTTGAGCGCTATGCTTCGCAAAAGTTGAATGTGTCTTAATTCGTGTGTCCAGGCATCATCTAACACGTACTGATACCGAATCTGGACCTGAGTCTTCACTTCTCCTTTCAAACTGTGAGGTGTGACTTTTGCAAATGAATAATCAGCGTCCCTGTAGAATTCTCGGAGATCGTCATCAATCTGTGCTTTCGGTATCTCGTTGAGACCTGTGCCCAAAAAGCAGTTGAGAAGGTGGCATAGGCAATTCGTAGCGAAGGCCATTGGTAGATGGGTCAGGTATCGATTGGCAACGTGCTTGAAAGCCCTTGCGAGCATCTCTTGTACAGTCAGTGCCTTGAGAGCTCGTAGTCGTGCATCCTCATTCTCAGTGAGAGTAGCGAGTTTACCCAGGTAGCGCAAGTTGACCCCCCGCCTATGCATCAATCGACTCAAAGATTGGCCGTCCATTGGAAATCCGACCTCTCCCTCCCTGAGGTCTTGTATCATTTCGGGGATGACTTTCTCGTGAAGGTGTGCGCAAACAGCCCTTACTTCGCGCTCATCCTTCGCCCACTCATCCTTCTCTGCGTCTGTCTGTGGAACCTGTCCGCAGAAGACGTCAGGATTGAGAGTTAGAGAGAAAGCCGAAATGTCTACACGATCTTCTTCTGGACTCTGTTCCGTGGTGTTGTCTTTCGGTTCGGACGACTTGTCCGTTTCAGTCTGGTGTTCGCCGTGCATGTCCTCCACACCGTTCACTTGGCTTTCCTTTGTACCGCTTGTTATTGCAGCTGGCCCATCCGCTTTAGCACTGGTCTTCCGACTCTCCACTTGTTCTTGGACATATTCACTCATTTTAAGTCTCCAGTACGCCTCCACAAGCTCTGGTCGGAGAGTGGTCATACGGTGAGGATAATCCCGCGATTGAGACTCAGTAGTAGGTACCTTGCCATCTTTGCAATGTTCCTCGAGCCAAGTAACATCCAGCGGCGTAAGTCTATACAGGTCGAGGATGTACTTGCGGCCGTCTGTACCAAGCAGGCCTTTCGTTTCAACGCTGCCCTCGAGCACGTGCTTTTTGCCTTCTTTGTCCCAAACAGCATGCTTCTTCACTTTCAAAGCTTTGGAAACTTGAGAGAATGTTGGTACAAATGCCTCGTTCTCAGCGACGACGTCTCGACCTTCCACTCCACCATAGTCAACTTGATGTTCCTCGGGTTCTCGCTGCTTGAAGATACCAGGAACAATGCTCTGCGCGACCAACCGCTTGCCCAGGTAGTCTACAATGATGGTGCCAGGGGTTGCCAAGCCTGCTATATCCAGCTGATTGACGGCTTTCACACCACAGACATCCTTTCCTACAGCTACTCGAGCAGCCTCATCACCGCCTTCTGAGGTAAAAGTACCAACGCCGTCGGCTCCGAATGAATAGAATACATTGTTGTATACAAAGATCTGTGCGTCTTTGCTTTCCGTAGGATTCAGGGGCGCAACTTCCCCACGTGCGACCATCATTGCACCACGAGCAGCCGCCTCATTGAATTCGGCGAATATCTTAAATATCAACCGCTCTCTGAAGACTCGATCCTGGACCGTCTCTCTGGGTAGCTCTCGAGTGGACTGTATTTCCTCATTCCAGTCTCGCAATGTCTCTGTATTCTCAACTCCAGACAGCAGAAAGGTTTCTTGAGTCCTCGTAAGATCTGGTTGATGAGACGAGAGGGATGTTGCTGTAGGAGCCACAAGCCAGGGACTGGAAGGTATGGCATTGGTAAGTTGAAAATTCGCCAATGGATCCCGCTTGTTGTTCGCATCTAATAACGTGTCAAAGGACTTGCTGAACGACTGTGACAAAACGGAGATCAGAGAGAAGAGTGAGTGTGCGGCTGCATTCTTTGGTGGTGGTCTTGGGAAGGGATCGAATCTGCTGTTGGAAGATTTGTTCACGAAGAACCCTGAGATATGGGAAGTGATCTGGTATTGCTCGCCTTCATTCGTGGTGAGCTGTAGATAGAGGAGATGGCCTTGTTGACGGAGAAACGGTGGTGGAGGATTCCAAGCCGAAACACCAAGAGATTTGATTGTTTTCGGGGATTGCTCCTGGTCTGTAGGAACAATTGTACGCATTGAGGGAGGACCGTCGAGGGTGTAGTCTGCAAGAGCATGTGAAGCTCCGGATGGGCCTGCATTCGCTGGTTTGTCCGTGGGAGCAGAGGGTGCGGCAGGATCTTTCCATGGTGATACTGTGTCGTGAAGTGACAGACCAGCTGAAATGCCGTGCAGCGTGTCGACCCGATTCCCGGCGGCCCCAATAAGATCCCGAATCCGTATTAAGTGCATCCGAGCCTCTTTCTCTGTATATGGGTCTTCCACCAGCTTCAATTCTGAGTCGGCAGTAAACCCTTTGACCTCTGATAGCTCAAGATAGTCATTGATCCGTTCGCCTTTATGTTCCAGGTGAAAACATGAGTACTGAAAAGTGCCTGGGGTTTCAACTATGGATTGTCGAAGGTCTTGGACCTGCTCTTGTGTGGAGACCATGATCTGGATCTGGTAGGGTTGATGAGGTAGTTTGATGGTGACTTGGAAGACATCTTTTGCAGACGTTAGCTCTTTCCATCAAACGCCATTCTGGGACGTACTGTCAGCGGTCTGCTCCTCCTTCGCTCCGTCTTGCTTCGAAACAGTGGTCTCTCCATTTGCAAGTGGCGTGGAGGAATCTTCATGGCCGTTTGTTTCTTTACTATTAGTCAAATTGGGATTTTCTAGGTACATAATATCAGTGTAAGACCTGAGACCGGATGGAAGGAGGCGAAGACCCCGATAGCCCACTATCTTTCACGTACCAGATTTTGCATTTGCGTCAGTACCATCCTCGGACATACTAGATTTTTTTTTGAAGGAGTATGGTATATGTACAGGCGCGTATGAAGGTACTTTCGGTGTTGCTATTGAAAAGGAATGTTCAATGGATACAATTAAGGAGAGTTGAGAGGGTAAAGACTCTTAGTGTCATGGACAAACATCAGATAACTTATTAGTAATGTAAGGAAAGAAAAAAAGCAAGAGGGAAATGAGAGACTTTTCCACCGCTCGAAGGAGAGCTCCGTCACCAGCATAAACACCGGGAGCTACGGAGAGCTTTGAGCGTTTGCGCGCAGATCCGGTTCTACCCGCATCCCTGCAAGCATCTTTTTGGGCAGCTCCTGGCTGCCGATATGGACACATCGCAATCTCACTTGCTACTGCCGACGACGACATCGAAGTTCGAGAGTCACTTTACCTTTCTTTCTTTCTTTCCTTGCTTTCCTTTCTATCCTGTCTTCTCAATTTCACAGCCTCTTATGCATTAAGACAAGGTGCCATTTCTATGCAAATCTGATCTCTAAGTACATCTCTTACCTGCGTGGTTCCGCTCCTCAGCATGGCGCGAACCAAAGCATCTCCCTTACGACGAGAGCCTTCAGACTTCGAACAAGGACCTCCAGACACCCCAAAATACGGCTGGAAGCATATGAATACCAAGGCGAATGGCAATGCCTCCCCTGCCGCCGTGAGCAATGGCAAACCTAAGGGGCTCTCTCGTCCCGCGATCCAAGAGGAAGCCGGACTTGCTCAACTCGTCATATGCGTTGCTGGCATCTACGCTTCATTGTAAGAGAGAATGACTTATTTGCCACCATTTCAAAGCCATCTGACTATATTTAGTCTTTCTTGGGCGCTCCTTCAAGAACGCATAACAGCGACCAGCTATGGCCCTTTAACATCCCCCGAACGATTCACCTATTCAGTCTTTCTGAACACCATTCAGTCCACATTTGCAGCACTAGTTGGCTACTTTTACCTCCTTTACTCCGCTCCCAAGTCCGGTTCAATCCCTGCTGTCTTCCCTACTCGCTCAATCCTTTTTCCCCTCGTCCTGGTGGCAGTAACTTCTTCACTGGCCTCCCCTTTCGGATATGCTTCGCTCGCTCACATCGATTATATAACTTTTATCCTTGCCAAATCTTGCAAGCTCCTTCCTGTCATGTTCCTCCACCTCACAATATTCAGGAAATCATACCCCCTCTACAAATATTTTGTCGTGGCCCTGGTGACCGCGGGCGTGGCCGTTTTCACAGTCTACCATCCCTCCTCATCGAGCAAGAAGTCATCTCCACAGAATAACAACTCAGCTTGGGGACTGATGCTGCTAAGCGTCAATCTTCTCTTAGACGGCCTTACAAACAGCACTCAAGACCATATCTTTACCTCGTACCGCCCTTATTCTGGCCCCCAGATGATGGTAGCTCAGAATGTCCTTTCCACCCTCCTCACGACACTTTACTTATGCATTTCGCCTCTAATTCCTCCAACACCCCTATCACCTAAAACGGGCGGCTCTTCCGAATTCTCAGCTGCTCTAGCCTTCATACAACGCAACCCGGCAATCCTATCTGCTATACTCTCCTTCGCTGCTTGCGGCGCTATTGGCCAGATATTCATCTACTACACTCTTAGCCATTTCAGCAGCCTTTTGCTAGTCACGGTGACAGTGACGAGGAAGATGTTGACAATGATGCTGAGTGTGCTTTGGTTTGGACATCGGTTAAGTGGGATGCAGTGGGTGGGCGTGGGGTTAGTGTTTGGGGGTGTGGGGGCAGAAGGCGTGATGCAAAGGAGGGAGAAAGTGGCGAAGGAGAGAGAAAAGCAGGAGAAAGGGCTCTGATTCACGAGCTTTTCACGCCATTGTGCTGCCTACGAGTGTGTCTTGCATGTACAGATAGGTACAAGTTGAAATATAGATCAAATAGACGCATTGGCAATATTCATACCCCTTATTTGTGAGATGTTGAAAACAGGTACGCCAGAAATTCTATCACTACGACCTGCTCCTCGCGTCAAGCACCAAAGTAGAGAGACAGGAGTTGCGGCTGATATGTTTCCTGTCTCAACGGAGATGCTTGAGCTGGAGACATCGAAACTTATGCAGGATTTAGTGCACCTGCGTAAATTGTTGCATAAAATCCCTTCCAGGTACTCATTTCCTCTTCTGCATCAACCAGCTGACACTCTCAGACCGACCTCACACGGGTCACTAAACATCATCGGCCCAGCAAACCACTCTGCGAATGATCTGAGCCAGCAAAACATCGAAGAAGCGCACCGTCCTACCAGTTTATACTCCAAAGAGCCTGATTGCCGAACCAAACGCATCCTTGAATCACCGAACGTCTCTCAGGCACGTCTTGCCCGGAATCCCAAACACGGTACAAAACAGCAAGTCGAGTGCTCAGTGCCAGACCCGTACGTTCAGGAGAGCACCAACGTTTCCGCCTTCCGACCCCGTCATCACTTCTCGGGCCTCAATCGATCACCACACCACCTTACAACCTCAGCATCTTGCCCAAGCCTCACGAAAACCCTTGCATTACCTGCGCCGGTCGAGTCGAGCAACCTTGCGCTCTCCGGCCACAGGCCACCAGGGCGGTGAGCATGGGCCTCGTCTACAATACCTACCTCAACTCCGACAAAATCTTTGGCTGCAAAAACTGCAAGACGCATCTCGCAAGCCACGATGCTATTATTTCACGCGTACGTTCTTCTGGCCCACATTGCCTTCCATTTTCTACGCATACTCTCTTTCTCCGCTTCAACCGTACCCGGGCTTTCCACCATGTCTTCCCTAGCCGCAGTTCGCATCCTTGTAAGCTGGACATGCTGATATTCAATCTTAATCAACAGAATTTCCGTGGCCAACACGGCAAAGCCTACCTCTTCAACGCCGTTGTAAATATCTCTCAATCAGAAGCCACGGAACGGAATATGACCACCGGCCGGCATATTGTACGGGATATAATGTGCCGACAGTGTAAGGAGACGGTGGGGTGGAAGTACGACAAGGCGTACGAGCCGAGTGAGAAGTATAAGGAGGGGAAGTTCATACTGGAGGCAGAGTTGCTGTGTACGGTGTACTAGGCTGTGGGGCATACACAAGAGAGCGGAGAGTGGAGGGCGAGATTGGATTGCGAGAGTTGAGAAAGCATACATCGGGGGCCAGCGAATCAGGCGTTCAATCACGAGCTTACGTTGAGCATGGTGTTTGGAAAGCTCGTGGGGATCATTTCGCATTCGGGTAAGCCATCTCGAAACAAAGTATCGAGACATGAACCCAAACATGCAGATTATCGAATGGCTACCAATGTGTTCAGCAATGGACGACAGAATATTCTTGAATGTTATAGCAGGACCTCATGAAGTAGCAGAGCTTCAGACTGTTTCCTTCTCTGCGGACATACACGCAAGCTCCTCGGCCCAGACCTAGATTGCGGGGTAGAAGAGCTCGGAAAGGCACCAGGTGTGGGGTAGAACGGCTGTCCAAGAAGCCATTACTTCATACTTTAGCAGTGAACTGCCACGCAAATATGGCGAGCCTCATCAGATTCAATTATTGCATCTTTACGTTTTTTGAACCTAAGAATCCCAAGAATCAAGGGAGGAACCGGAAAAGCAATGGCCAAAGACACAATGAAAGCCGTCATCTTCAAGGAACCCCACGTCGTAGCCATAGAAGATCGACCTATTCCTAAGATCAAAGAACCGACAGATGTTATTGTGAGAGTGATATATACAGCTTTGTGCGGCAGGTAAGTAGAGGAAGTATTTTGACCTGTACAAGGCGGATCTAACGTCAACGCTTCAGTGAGCTCCATGTCTTCAGAGTCTGTACCGCCCTGTTGTCCTGCTCCAACGAGGAAACTTATAGTAACAGGGCCATCAAACCAGCCCAACGGGCTTTATCATGGGCCATGAGTTCACTGGTACTGTTGAGGAGACCGGATCCGACGTGAAGAATTTTAAGAAGGGCGATCAGATAGTCTCGCCTTTCACCGTCTCCTGCGGGGAATGCTTTTATTGCAAGCAAGGACACTCTTCAAGATGTGCCAAGGGTGCCCTCTTCGGTACAGCCGGTCTTGATGGAGCTCAAGCCGAATATGTGAGAGTGCCGCTAGCGGACAGTACTGCTATGAAGGCTCCAGAAGGCATTGCAGATAATGCGTTGGTTCTAATGGCAGACATATTTCCTACTGGATTCTTTGCAGCCCACAATGCCTTCAAAGACTTGACGAAGGAGCAAATTTCTGAGGCAACTGTAGTGCTGGTTGGCTGCGGACCTGTCGGCCTCTGTGCTCTCATCAACGCCGAGAATTACAAGCCAAAGCATCTGCTTGCAGTGGACTCGATACAGTCGAGATTGGATTTGGCCGAGTCTTTGGGTGCGGAGCCGTGGAATTTCCAGACTGATCGAGAAGGACTCGACAAACGAGTAAAGGACTTGACAGACGGTCGAGGTGCCGATGTAGTCATGGGTATATCTCTTGCCTTGATTTGAGCGTGGAGCCGGGCTAGGAGCTGATTTGTTTGAACAGAGGTCGTTGGCATGAGTCATGCTTTGATGATGGGATTTGAGTTGCTAAGACCCTGGGGCATTATTTCCAGCGTTGGCGTGCATAATGCGGAGGTAAGCCCGAAGGATCATTTGCCTCCACCCATGCACTGTACTGACGCGTTGCAGATCCCCTGGTACTGGGACAACCTGCTTGCTTATCTCGATGATAGGAGTCAGCGCTGACGATTTGACAGGTCTGGCAACCAAGCATATGGCAAGAATCTGCGTATTCAAATGGGCCGATGCCCCGTGCGATCGATATTCCCTCAAGCTCTGGATATGCTAAAGCAGAAGCAACATCTTTTGGGGTCAGATATTATTATTGAAGCTCAACGACCGAGTAGCGCCCACTGACCATGATCCAGGTTTATGTCTGACAAGATCATGCCCATGTCCGAGGCTGTAGAAGGTTACGATCTTTTTGACAAGATGAAAGTACAGAAAGGTATGTCGCCCATAATCAAAGTCACGATCTCTGACTGGGCTTACAAGACCTAGTGGTTTTCGAAGCACAGAAGTGACACGAGCTCCATTGTTGCACGAGAGACGGAAAGTTTTGTACAAGCATGACTTCGATGTATTTGTAACGAAGTTGACATCGAGTACTACCCAATAAGACTGACTCGAAATGGCCTCTCTTCATCGAGTGGCTCTTTTCATGTGCATGCAAGCCTCATATCATAAGATGGTTGAATAATTTCATGCCTGCCCAGTGAAGTGTGTCGAACAAGTCCCATCCTATTTGCTTGAGGCATGTTAAAGGTCAAATCATCAACGTAGCGACGCATTGTAGAGCAAATGCCCTTGAGGAACGGTAAGTCTCGAATGCAGCTGCCAAAAAATGTGACTGGCGACAGGGATTGTGCATGAAAAATAATGGTTGTTTGGCGGGGGAAAAATAGCGTCCTTGCCCAAAAAAAATTCTGAGCGTACGAACATCTCTCCCACGACAGCTTCATGTTTCCTCAGACTGTTGTCATATCCTCTTTCCTTAGCTGCCCGGTCTAGTTATTCTCGAGTCCGCAGTCTGATACCCACCTCGTCCTACGGAACCCTCTTCCATCTCTCTCTGTAGGTATTTCATCATCAACGATTGTTTGCTTCCCTGCAACAGCTGGCGATAAAGACCCTAACAGCACAAGTACGGTTGCTGACCTATATGCACGCAGTCCACCCGTTGTGACTGCTCACTCAAGATCACTTCAATTTCAGTCACCCTCGAGCTCGAGCGAAAGCACCGAACTCAATACCCTTCCTCTGTCCATCCACCTTCAAAATGGCAACCGAAACCCGCACCGAGACAGATATCGCCGACTCCATGGGCCGTGTCGGCATCAGCCCTGAGAATGGGGACGAAAACCGTCTCGGATCGGATGGAGAGCCAGCACCAAGAACTGATGAAGAGTATGCCCAGTCTCAACTCACTCTCCGTGCCATTGTGTCCTCGAAAGAAGCCGGGGTCATCATAGGTAAAGCAGGAAAGAATGTGGCGGACCTTCGAGATGAGACTGGTGTCAAAGCCGGCGTTAGCAAGGTGGTGCAGGGTGTGCATGATCGTGTGCTCACGGTCACTGGCGGATTAGATTCCATTTCAAAGGCATACGCTATTGTTGCCAAGGGTTTGCTGGAAGGTGCTCCACAGATGGGGATGGGTGGAGTCATTTCTTCGAACGGAACACATCGTAAGGCTCCCCCATATCGATGCTATACCGCCACTGTCACCTCGTACACTGGCTGTTCTATATCTCTACCATGATAGCTAATGATCGTTTCTACAGCCATTCGTCTGCTCATCTCTCACCATCAAATGGGTACAATCATTGGTCGACAAGGGCTCAAGATCAAGCAAATCCAAGATGCCTCCGGTGTCCGAATGGTTGCCCAGAAAGAGATGCTACCACAGTCAACCGAGCGAATTGTTGAGGTTCAAGGCACGCCAGATGGCATTCAAAAGGCTACTTGGGAGATTGGAAAATGCTTGGTCGATGACTGGCAACGCGGGACAGGGACTGTTCTCTACAACCCTGTCGTGAGAGCAGAGGCCGGTCGTGGAGGTCCTTTGGCCGGTGCTCCCGTCGGTGCACCGCCACCCTACAATGGCAATCGCTCGTTCAATCGCACTGGTAACGGTGCCGACTTTAGCGATAACAACGCTGGAGGCTCATACAACCGCCGTTCAAACTCTGATGCGGCAAATCGTGGACCTCCTACTACGACAGAAGACGGCGAAGAGATTCAGACGCAAAACATCAGCATTCCTTCCGACATGGTCGGTTGCATAATTGGACGCGCTGGAAGCAAGATTAGCGAAATCAGAAAGAGTTCTGGTGCCCGCATATCCATTGCCAAAGCCCCTCACGACGAGACCGGAGAGCGCATGTTCACGATCATGGGCAGCGCCGCAGCCAATGAAAAAGCTCTGTATCTGCTTTATGAGAACCTTGAGGCCGAGAAGATGCGTAGAAGCCAACAGCCTCAGGACTAGATCCAGTACTGGAGCTGTCATCTCCACCGTGAACATCAAGGTTGCTCTGGTTTGCATATAGCCAGGTGCACATCCGCCACGCTCCGACCCTCGCATCCCACGTCTCCGACTCGACAGTTCCTTTCCATTACACTTCTATCCATCCCTACCAAAAGTTGACTCGCTTCACTCTCTGCCATGGACACGTCCTTTCACGACACACTATTACGACCTCATGATCCTTTACTACCTTCACGAATCATCATGGCTTTCACAGCGTGCTTTGACGACTGATGAATTCGCTTGCTCAACACCAATCTTTCCGACTCTACGTCCTTTCAATGCGATGATACCAATTTCATCTATGCTCCTCCACTCCTTTCACACACCCAAGCTCCACAAGCAGCCTCTATGAGACCTCCTCGACAGCCATGCTTTGATACAGCCAGGATTGTCTTCCTCACCTGCTTGACTAGCCTGTACCTTTTTCTCTATCGACCTCGTCCGGTGGCAAGGGAGCTGGCTAGAAAGCTGCAAAGCTGGCAATTAGATAGGCATTAAATCCTACTTTTCACGTGGCAATCGACCCAATTGCTACCAGAGGGAATGCTACCCAACATCATGACTGCACTTCTCTATGTAAAAGAAAATAACAAGCCGTAAAAGTGCTGCATAACCGGGGTTCTCAGTTCTCACAAGGACATTGCCTTTTGAATCGTCATGCTGTAGAGCAAACAACGCCAAGCTATATGGAACCGCTGACGTATCGGAGACCCTCCGCCCAACGATTTATGGTTTTCAATGTTTTTGTCGATATACAATCGCCCAATACTCAAACATATAGATAATATGCGAAATAAATAGATACCTTGTACGCTTGTTTCTATGCACCAGCTGGTGTATGCTTAACGCCTCACAAGCCCCACTCTCCATTGACGCGAGCTTAAGAGCTGTCTCTTCCTGCATACACGCGCCTGCCCGTCTGGGATTCATGCAACCTTAAAAAATCTGCATCTCTCTGGCCAAGGTAGCGGACGCTGTATGCAAGCAGCGCTCGCGTACCATCTGAGCCAGAGGGGACGCACTTTTTATCTTTTGAAGCATGACCGAGCTGGACTTGCACCTTGATGGTACGTCTCTCAGCTTACATATGCTAGATGAGAAGGAGCAACAAATCGGCACATTCAACTACCTTCTCAGTTTGCTTACGAAGCTTACCACCTTCGTTCGTTCTGTTCACTAACGCTTTTGTCTTTTCTAGCGGACTCGGGCATACGACACGTCGTCTCACAGGAGGAAAGAACAGAACAAGCACTGGATGTACTGAAGCTTCCAAAGAACAGAAGTACTGGGGACCTGCTCACAGGTGCAAGAAGACCAACAGAAGATGGGAAACTACGGGTCTCCTTTGATGCCGGATCTGCCATTGGTGACCCAACGGCCAGATCCCCCATCATGTCAGATCACGAGCGTGGACTTGGGATATCAGGACTGCGGCGAATACGCCAGCAGCCTGCTTCTCGAGCACCATCGCACCCTTCATCACCATCCACTTCTTATACACTCCCTCCAAGGTCTTCCTCCATGACAGTGGATTCGTCCACCTCTCGAGGATTTACAGGGGGTGCACCTTCTTCACCCACGCTGAACTTCGGAGAAGACCTGTCACGGTTTCCTTCCGAATCTCTGCATTCATTCTCCTTCACCCACCAGTCCGAAGGTGCGCTCCACAATCGTCAGAGTGTGTTGAAAAGAGCTATAGATTTTATGCGTGATCGACTAGGCTTTGGTGTAAACCATCCGGGTGTCATGACCGCGCAGGCCAAAGTCAGTGGTGATGTGGAAATTCAGAGCATGGTGGATCTCTTGGTGCGGGCGAACATTCTCGGTTCTGACTCACAAAACAATCAGAATGCTCGGCAACTCCATGGCCCAATGACCGGACCAGCTGATGTGGAAAAGAATGTGTTCGACAACGCCTTTCTCGCGCGGTCTACGAGTCCAGAAGCACTTAGAATACGGTCATCTGTAGATAAGAGCTCACAGCAAACGGGAGACAATGAAATCTTAAGACCTGGATCAAGCCAACCAGAGCCTTCACTAGCTAGTGCAGCCTCAGCTGCTGATCCAGTGGAACCTGAATCACCATCTAGTGCTTCACCCATTCTAGAAACATCTCAGGTTCCAACAACCGGCATGAAGCGTACATACACAGACCTGTCACTCTTGAACCTACAAACGAGGCTTGTGGAGACGCTTGCAAAGCCGTATAAGGCGAGCGACAGTGCTCATGAAAGCCTTGTATCTCCAACGCCATTGGCAGGCTTCGTCAACGCTCTTAACACTGGCATGAACACCCCTTCCTTGGTGCACGGGCATAACAACCGATGGGTACCCGCTGCGCAGGCTGTGTTCACTACAGAGACTTCCTCCCCCTGGACGATTCTCCTCGCAAACGACCTTGCATGCCTAGTCTTTGGAGTGACGAAAGTTGAGTTTAAAAAATTGAGCATGCTCGAGGTCGTGAGGGAAGATCGAAGGGCGTGGCTGGAAGAGAAACTCAAGTCTCCGGGCGCAGAGGCGACGGCCAAGGCGCGTCAAGCCGGTAGCAAAAGCGCAAGGACAAGTCCGAAATCAACAACCTCCGTCAAGATGGGTAGGGGTGTAACTGCACAGCTTCTCAGCAAGCCTCCATGGCGGCAGCAAAGGGCTCAGACTGACGAATGGAAGACGAAGACGTCAAGAGGTGCACCGTATCATCCTGCGAATAAATCCCGCGGTGTTCTATTGTGTGGGGATATTGTGCCGATACGAAAGCGCAACGGAGCCACGGGAGCTGCAAGCCTGTGGGTCAAAGAGAAGCGAGGCGGTCTCATATGGGTGCTGGAGGAAATTGCGGAAGATATTGCCACCCTGAAGCTTGATGCGGATTTGCGTGTGACGGGATCCAAAGGAGCTACAAACGTGATTTGGGGAAAGTCAGACGTTTCTGCTGGAACAGAACTACAGCATCTGATGCCACACATGCCTACAAAAAGCAGCTCAAACGGCTCAACAATCACGAGTAGAACAGGCTTTGCGAGTAATACAACCGTTCAGTATTTTGCGGCTAGAAGTGATGACAGCATAAACATCCCTATTTCGGTCACCATGGAGCCTGACCACGAAACACTGCGGGTCTCGAGCTTCCCACACATCGCCGGTATCGTGGTCGTCTCTGCTTCGAACCTAACGGTCATGAGCTCCAACTCAGTCTTCTCAGCGGCCCTTTTTGGCGAAGCCGAACCCAGCGGTCAAAAGATCAGCGAGCTGATACCGCAGTTTGAGAAAATCCTTGAAATATTGATCGAGGAGGACAACGTGAACTTGGTTGATGGTATTGTCGTACCAGAGCACAGCTTCCGAAGAGCGCGAGCCCTGGTGGCTCTACGTGAAGGCAACGAAGATGCTGCAGCCATATTTCTACGGCCACAAGGACTGATAGCTCGTCATCGAGATGGGTCAGAGATTAACGTTGACGTGCAAATGCGTGTTGTACGAAGCGAGAGATCCACGGTCAATGATGTTGTTATCGAGGAAAAGAGCGAAGACAGCGATTCGGCGAGCGAGGAGTTTGATCCTTCGGAGATTGTATATGCTCTATGGATTACCTATTCGCGGCAGCTTCACTCCGCACTTCTTCCTGGTGGCTCAGCTACACCAAACCTCTCGCGACCTGGTACGCCACACCAACCCTCTCCTGGTCAAAATAGCCGGTCGATTACTCCAGAGCAGATTGACCGAGAAGACATCAAGCCAGAAACTTTACCCACAACGTCACTCACACAACAAATCAAAGAAGCGGCATCCCAGCCTATCTCCGAGAGTCCGTCCAAGCATGTCGTGATAGAGCCAGTACCTCGTGTCTCCACTTCCAAGGCGAAGGATCTGCCCAAGAAGAAGAAGAAGATATCAGATTTCGTCGTTCTCGAAGATATGGGCCAAGGCGCGTATGGCCAGGTCAAATTGGCCCGCTACGCCAAAGCCAATGGCAAGAAAGTCGTCCTCAAATACGTGACCAAGCGCCGCATCCTCGTCGATACATGGACCCGAGACCGCCGCCTTGGAACAGTTCCACTGGAAATCCACGTCCTCGACTACCTGCGAAGAGACGAGTTACGACACCCCAACATTGTCGAAATGACAGACTTTTTCGAAGATGATGTCAACTACTATATCGAAATGGTACCGCACGGCTTGCCAGGCATGGATCTCTTTGATTACATTGAGATGCGATCAACAATGGATGAGGCTGAATGCCGAAATATTTTCTTGCAGGTGGTGGACGCATTGCATCATTTACACACCAAAGCACTCGTTGTACACCGCGATATTAAAGACGAGAACATTATTCTGGATGGCGAAGGAAAAGTCAAGCTCATCGATTTCGGTAGCGCGGCATACATCAAGAACGGCCCCTTTGATGTCTTTGTTGGGACAATTGGTAAGTTCTTTCTCCGTTTCGACCTGCTCCTATCCCACATGGCTAACGGTGGCTTTAGATTACGCAGCGCCCGAAGTCCTCCAAGGTAAATCCTACCGCGGCAAAGAACAAGACATCTGGGCCCTCGGCATCCTCCTCTATACACTCGTCTACAAAGAAAACCCCTTCTACAGCATTGACGAAATACTGGATCACGAATTACGCATACCGTGGATCATGTCGGCCGCGAATATTGAATTAATAAAACAGATGTTGGATAGAGATGTCGACAGGAGGCTGACCATTAGTCAGGTTAGGGATGCCGGATGGTGTAGGGAGGTTGGGGACCTGTAATGGTTCAGGAGAATGGTGATGGGACGTGTGGGTTTTTGGCATAGGCGATAGATGGATTGGGAAGAGGGCGAACGTGATTGCATGGCCGGTGATACGAACGTTCTGCTGCTTTGCACACTGGTGCAGAGAATCTTTGGCATTTTCATTTCCTCTGAAGCGACAGCGAATTTGGGCCTCTCGGGATATTTTGGGGCTTCGGCATTGGCATATTAGACGTTTACATCGATACCCACGGCACAAGATAAAACAAAAGATGATTGGTCAATTCTCCGGTGGACGATTTAAACCGGATTGGAATGTTACATCAGTCACCATCATAATGCGCTTGCTGCACCTTTTGATGCTGTTTTAAAAAAAAACAAATGGCATTGAACTATGCAAACATATGTAGAACGCTGTATGCATTCGAGGGTCATGATGATGTCCCGACCATGGGCAGGTATCGTCAATGCGCTTCATGTTTGAATCGGGCCAAAACACTGTCACTTTGTTGCGGGACATCCTCATCCCACCTCCATCCCCCCACGTCTGCTCGCCGGCCTCTCATCTCTCAGCGGAAACGTCCACGGAACAGCTAGGGGGATGATAGAGGGTGGATTTAGCCGCTCGTATGCATTTCATCCCGGGTATTTCCGCAAAATTGTGGTGCTAGGGCTGGCCATGCTGGCTAATTGATGCCGGTTGAATCTATATAGCGGAGACAAGATGCACCTGATCGCAGGGAAGACGGCCCTCGAGCTGGGCTCGAGTGTGCCGAATGATGACCCCTCTGGATCGTGAAAGCTGCGGTGACAGTCCTTGGAGCTGTCGACAGCTGGCTTCGTAGTCATGATGTCCCGGTAGTAGAGCATCATGTCTCATGCGTGATCTTTCATAGGCACATTGTGTAGCGTGCCCCCAGCCGCCTATGGTGGTGGTGGTGGTGGTGGTGAGAAAAATGTTGATGCAACCTGAGCGATCTTCATATCATATCGAAGATACTCCTCGTAATCGGGGCCTCGCCAATCGGATGCGGACTCCTAGGATCCTCCTCCTTTAGCCCCGGGCTCATGAGACCTTGTTCGAAGACCGACGAGCCCGCTAGATCGCCAGCAGAAGTGCGGTGGAAGGGACTAGCTGTGAACTCTGCAGCTCGGGGAGAGAGGAGCGAGGGAGTCTGGGGGACGTCGGGATCGATTGCTCGCGGTGATGGCTGGGCATTGGTCAATTGTGGTGGAGATTGGCCCTGGCGGAGAGGTAACTGGCGTAGTCCGAGAGGGCCTTGGCGTCGGCTTAAGAGGCTGCTGAAGCCTGCTGGGAGGGTGGGGGAGGGTGTTGATACAGTGGCTGTTGGCAGGATGTGTGAGAGCGTCATTTCTGTCTCCTTGATTGCAGGACTAGTGGGTGATTGGAAGCGTAAATTTTCGGTAACCAATTCCAAGAACCTTGGCGGAGAAATTAGAGCAGATTCTTCTTTGTTGTCCGAAGTTTTGTCCGAATCGCTTGCTTCATGCTGTAGTTCCTGTTTCATCCCTGCCACAGGTACTGCCCCTTTCTCACCGAATGATTCATCGAACGACGGCAGTGACATTGTAATCTCAGGACCAAAGTTCATCTTCGGCAGAGACATGTCAGTGGGATTGCGTTCATTGTTGGCTAGATCCTTGGCAACTTCCTGCAGGTCATTGGCCACCCCTCCCACAGGCGCTGGTGCTTCTTTCTCTTCGATGCCTTCGCGTTCCATTGTTGAAGGCGAAAGTACCATTTCGGTATCTGGATCCGAGATGTTTGGGGGGGATGCCGAGGTAGGGAGAGGTTGAGCATAAGAGGAAACGGCGTCACTTTCGGGCGCAGGCGACCTCTGGCCTGGAGACCATTGCATATCTGGCGGCGCTGATGACGGACCTGGTGTGATGTCGCCTGAAGAGGTTGGCATAAGCTGAGCTGAGCTGGGTGGACTGAATGAGCTGGACCGTGTATCACGTCCTATCTGGGATGGTGCACTCAATGACTTTTGTGGCGGACTTCGAAGTCCAGAAGAGGACGGTAGGCCAGAGTCTGAGTTAGGATTCACAGTGGCGTTTGGGTTTGAGCGCCCAGATCCCAGAGCTCGCCATGCATGCCAAGCTGCTGTTCCCATGGGATGCGTCCTGATCAATTTGGCCTTGAACTCCGATAATTGATATATTAGATTCATATTTGGCCCGATCCATCTACTTCGAAATTTGACTGCATCATAGGCTTCTTGCACAGTGAGCTGCGGATTCTTGTATAGTCCGTATGCAACAACAAGACTTGCTGATCGGCTAACTCCGCACTGGCAATGCACTAATACTCTCTTATTTTGCCGTACTCGATTGTCGATGAGCTCACATAACCTCAGCAAATCATCCACTACATTAGTGTTGTGGTCCCAAGGAACATGGATGTATTCAGGCTCCGGCCTGAATGCCTTTGGTGTGCCCGGCGCCGTCGTTGAAGCATCTTCTATTTGCGCCTCAAGTGCAGAGGCGAAGGACTTCTCCGAGACCGCAGTCTGCGGTTCTGGAACGCTATCTCGGCCAGCGAGGTAGGCGTTGTCTGCATTCGGAGCTCCTTGTATCTCTGCTCCTTCTTTTCGAGGTTGTGCGTCCTTTTCTACTGCTGCCAAGAAAGGGTTCAATACTTCTCGCGCAACGTTCAGAATGACGTCGAATTCTCGCGCTTCGACATGGCTGGGTTCGAGATAAAGGTACACGTGCGGATCATAGATGCACACGGGCCCTTGTGGATATGCGGGCGACTTGACTTCTTGAGAGAGCGGAGGCTCATAGTCTGTCTCTTCTTGCACATGATCGAGTGTCTGCCTTGTGATTGGAGAGGATGTTGAATTATCGAACGAAGACAGAGGCGAAACACTGAGCGGCGGTCGTACTTTGCCTATCCGGCCACCGGTAGTAGAGGGGCGGCTAGACGTCGCCGGAGCGGCGAACGGCGGTAATCGCATGCCGCCCTCAGGGGCGACGGTTGGAGAGAATAGCGCGCCATTTAACGAGGTTTGTAGCAACCGCAAAGTCCGAATCTGTGGATCTGATGGGCTTTGAAGGGCTGCGCTCGGCCGATCCTGGCCAGAAGTGCTTGAATCGGGGGTAGTGATCATGAGCGGGAGAGTGCTTGGCTTTTTTCTAGGCAATTTGGGCGGAACAATGAATGCTGGTGTAGGTGGAGCGGAGAATGCATTGGTGGATGCTTGTGGCGGGTTCGAGGGTCCTAATTTTGGAAGCTGGAGCCCTGTGCGATTTGACGCAGATGTATTCACCGACAAGTTCTTCATGTTGCGCATTTTCTTGTTCGGTGAATCTGCGCGCTCCACTCCGGGTAAGGTTGGAAATGAGCTCGAGAAAGGGTCTCTGCACTCCATTTCTGCTTGATTATTCGGTACCGAGTTCGTTCTCAGGTTTTTGAATGATGTAAGAGGTGAGGAGGAGTCTGGTGTCTCGGGAGGCGAACGAGGCGAAGGCTCTGTGAGAGAAGACCCCACTGTCGATATCGTAGTTGTAGGAGAGGACTCTGTGGATTCAAAGGTCGAGGTGGAGTCTCGACGAATTGTAGGAGGAGCAGGTTGGGCGATGTTTAGGGGCCTTTTTGGAGTCCTGCCCTGTGAAGTGGTCGCCGCGGCGTCACCTTCATTTGTTTCTAACCTGTCCGGGCCGTTTCCAAACACAGACATAAACGAAGGTAAGGATGCCAGAAGCGACTGTGAGCTTGTTGCCACCGGCATACTTGAGCCTGGTGAGTTTGTCGGTGAGCACCTCTTTGCTGACGAATAGTGTTGGTGAGACCCATATGCTACCTCAAGACCAAGGGCTCCCTTGGAGGGAAAGACATTACTATTACGGCTCGTTTGAAAGTCGGGAAGCGAAGTATGAAGGCCGTCGACTACAGACACAACGTCAGTACAGATCACAGAGGCCATCATGGTGATGGGGCCATGCCAGACGAGTGAAATCGCAAGCAAGCCTGGGAAAGTGGATGAAGATGTGAATATTAGAAATGGGAGGTTTGCCGCTGATCTAGAATGGTGTGTCTTGCATAAAGAACAGTCCAGTGTAGGCAAGCCAATCAGATGTCCAAAGGCATGAGATGAAAGACTAACCCTAGACTATCAGCGAAGCGCTGGCTTTCCCTCTCTCCCTGGATGTGTGATTGGCGACTTGAGTTGTGTCTGCCTTTGGGCTCCCACCCTTGATCTGCTCTTCACCCTCCTACGCTGGGAGTCTTGTGGGGTTCGTTCTGAGGCGGAGTGTTGATGATGCCTAAGCGCCTGGGGTCGATTGCGATGAGTTCTTGGTGTACCAATCGTCAATGGGCGCACCAGCTAGTGGAGTGTGAATTTATGAGGATGGAGAGGCTCGGTGGAAGTGAGAGGGCGAGGGCGAGGTTCTTGTCGCCGTGTGGTTTCCAGCTGGCCAATGAGGATTGAAGGTCTGTTGGTGGGGAAGTCAGCGCTTTCGTCCTTTTCGGCTTTAACCAATCACTGCGCCTTGTCCCTTTAGCCGCCCAGACAAGATGCACCCTATCACTTTTCGACATTCCATACCTTACTATGAAAGAAAGTCGAGCGGAAAGGCTTTGGAGGATGGGAGAAGCGATCTTTTACCTACTTGAGAAGGTGGTGATCTGGAGAAGGAGGTGGAGCAGTGACGTCCATGTCCAACGGTCGAGTCCAAGGGCAGGATTTAAACAAATTTAAGAGGGGGGAAGATGAGTGGCGAGCCTGGTCACGGCGCCGATATCTCAAACAATATTCACTTATTACCGTATATTATTAGTAACTAACTGCAAATGGCAAATGGCAACCGAGTGGGATTATGGGATACCTATTGGGATACAATAGGGGGTCTCGTAAAGTAGTGAATAATGTCCAAGGATGGTGATGTTTGAGATATTCGTCTCGAGTCTCCGACTATTCATGCCAGTCATTTCAATTCTCTCCCATCATGTCCCAAGCCATCATGCTTTCTGGCGACGGCAGAACAATGATAATCCTCAAAAGTCGGTGGCATCATTGTCTGCTTTGGAGCTGCCGTGTAAATGACTGTCCAAAGATGCAAAAGATGCAGCCGTCCAGCTGATTGTACCTGCCCTGCAGCGAACAGAACAAAGAATCCCCCCCCCAAAAGAGAAATGCCGGAGCTAGATCGCACGGGTACTAGTACCAGTTTCAGATTTATTTATAGTTGAGCCGCCCTTTCTAGCGCCACTCGACATCCCGCTTTGCCTATTCTGATCCCTACTAGTACTACCTTAAGCCACGGCCACGCATGCATATTACTTTAGTCCACGATTGAGTGCCTCTCGTTTCATTTCATTTCGCAGTAAGCTATATTGAAGATAAAACTCCTGGAACAAGACGTTGGCAGCATTGTCTATTGAGTGCCTTGCCAGTGGCCCAGTAACTGACATGCCTTGGGCTAAATCCGTTTGAATCGCAGACTGTCGCTTGCTATCAGGTACCGAGAAGAAAGATTCGTCACCTTCGGAGTTGCTCGGTTCAAGGGAATCGCACGGAAATCACTCTTTTCTCCTGATAATCCATTGGCTCTGCAGTACACCGTTCCTGCCACCATACTGCAATTTCCTGCACAGTCCCGCATACAATATGTCTGAATCTATCCTCGTTATCCTCTGCGGCAAGTCGCCGGTCGTTGCTACAGCCGTCAAAGCAAGTCTCCTACCCGAGTATCAAGGTGAATTACTTCATCTCAATGCACTCTTCCCCCCCTGAACAATTACTGTAATCCATGTCATCATGTCTCCCGAAGCCGGAGCCTCTGAAGCCCCTTCCATCCCTCAAGGCAAGACCCCACCGGCTAGCGACACGGAAAATCCTGGATCAGAAATTATTCCAATTCGGCTGGTGCTGTGATTACGGGCAGTGCGTGTGACAATAAGGCGATATTGGAGTTACGCGATACTCACAAAAGCAATGCGCCTGTCTCATTTCGCAAGCGGTCTGACCTTCTCTTCGGAGAGTGGCCTGATAGGTTTCTTGGAGGAAGCAAGATACCGGAGGCCAGGATGAGAGCAGCGGCGATGCGAGTACTCCAAAAGCCCCATCGCCAAATCATGTTTTAGGCAATGAAACCTCCAGCTTTCGGTCCAGCAGCGGGTCCAAGTAGTGGGGCGAGGCTATACATACCAACTGCTTTTCCTCGCCGATCCGCATGCCAGCAATCCCTGGTCAGTATTGGTTACAGGAGCAAGGCATTACGATCATAAATCTCTCACCCCAAGACACCACCGCCGATAGCCAAGGGCATGTTTCTGCCTATTCCGCTGAGAAATCGAAAGACCGTCTGGGCAAATCTGCATCCCAATATTCATGCGAGCTATTCGACCACATATTGCTCAGCCGTAGGGCATAAAACCGGCCAAAAATCCAAGTGGGTAATAGCGTATGCTAGGACGAAGATAGAGAAGGTCATTTGTGCCTCAACTTCAAAGGTTATGCCGAGGACTTTGTCCATCTTGCCAAGCGCTGACGCTATCATTGAGAACAATACCCGCGAGATGAAGGTGAAGGAACATACGACAAGCGTGGCTTCCGATTGCTGCCTGCTCGTCTATTCCTTAGGGTTCTCAGGGTCGTCTCGACCGAACCAAATCATCTCAATATTGGCTCGTCAGCCTCATTACTTACGCTCTGTCAGCGCAGGACCATGCACACCAGGCTTGTCTCTCTCAAGGACTCTTCGTGTTCCTCCTTCTGCATCTTTTCTCTCTTCTCTAGGTTGTGGCTTCTGCTTTTCTAAATCCTTGTTCATGTCATTACTGAGTGGCTTTTGCAGCTCCTGATGTGGAAAGTCGTGCTCAGCTCCAATATCCTGGTGGTGATGGATCGAGTGTGCATCATCACATTGCTCTGAACCTATTCGCTGTAATGCAGAGATGGTCGGTCGATGGGTTCAAGCTTCTCCATAGCTTGGACTTTTGGTCGTTTTCTGTCACTAGCACGGAGGTAAGTGGATGGCATGAACCAATCTTCACACAGCTGCCAGAACTCATGGGTGGCATGGGCTCCATTTCATATGGGATGGATTCACGATCTCTTGCCATCACCATGATGATCGTCATGAATTTATCAAGCGCTCTTTCTTATGGCCGCTTCAACGCCATCTTGGCGCCCAGAGTATCATTGTTCAGGGAGGTCTCAGATTTCAGCCACGCTGTAGTAGTCATATGAAAGGCATTTGACAGACTGGTGAATAATGCGTAAAGGCGCCTAGAGACTCGTATTCGTTCGCTTCCCCTATGACCAATTCTCCGAGATGTTCAGGTCGATCATGTTCCTTTTTCTGCCTGGTGCGACTCCAACATCAATCGCCTTGCACGTACAATCGCAGCCTGGCACTGGACACTTATCATGGCCTCCAATCCACTCTTGCGTCCTTTCATTGAATCGCCCCTCAAACCACTCCCGAGAATGCGCACCGTGAGACATATGCCAGCACCGTCTGCAAACCGTCAAAAACTTTTCCAATGGATCTCTCTCTGCAATCCCATCTTTCTTTGATTCTGCATTCTTCTTGACCTCTTCGACAGCGCCGCGGGAGTGCGGGTCTGGCATGCCGAGCCATTGCATACATATTACGCAGCTAGGCATATGACGCCCACATTTCGGGCAGACGGTGCCAGATTTGGAGTCGCCGAAGATGGAGCCTTGGTGGGTACCGAAGCTGTCAAAGGAGCCTGGTGGGAGGACACGACTGGACTTGCGGTGCAGTGCTTGGTCGCAGTTGTTGCAACGAATGCTGACCTGGCGTGATGGTGGCCGTATCTCTGGTTTGCCACCTAGCGATATGGAGAGCCTGGTAGATTGAACATCAAGATGGACGCGCTGAATGAACATGCCCCAACTGTTGAGTTGGGAGCGATAAGTCTGCCGCCAGAGGTCGACGCGAGGATCTGTAAAGTAGCTCGGGCAGGTAAAGGACATGGCTAGGATTGCGGTTTGAAGGTCGGAGAATTTGCGAATGTAATTTTCGAAGAGGGGAACTGCTTGCTCCGTAAGACCTGTTAGGACGACGCCCTCGATGTCGCCTTCTTGGATGCACTCTGCTGCATTATCAGTGATGTAGTGTGTAAGCTCATCGTCATCCAAGTACATTAAAGCAATTCCAACTCTGTCCCGGAGTGGAAGTGAAGTTTCTGCTAGGACGTCATGCCAGTCGCCATAGCTGACCAGTGCAAGGATGGCACGAGCGTAAGGATCATCAAGATCACTCTTGATGTCACGGACAGTCTCTTCCCATGTGTCATCGATTACTCCTTTATTGTATCCAGCCAGTGCAAGAGAGAGTTCTCTTTGCGCCGGAGAAGCGTTACCACTCCTCAATGCTTGAAAAGCTAGCTTGGCTTGGTCGTGGATGATTGCGAGAGCAGCTGCTTTGGTATTTTGTCCTTGACGCACGAAGTCTTTAACTGTAGCTTCGAGCTTTTGGTATGGAAGCCCCAGGCCACAATTATACAGACACAACCGGCGGTGGTTAGGAGCGGCGGACTGTACCATTCGGAATTCGGGCAGATCGAGCTTATCGCACAGTGTTTCGACAGCATCAGCGACGTCTTTGGGGTATGTTGGCTTGCTAAGCTTATTAGGACCTCTTTGGGAATCTTGATCGAAAGTTAGAAAGGCCACTATCATTAGCCGTCAATTAACTTACCCAGATCGTTGTTCCAGATGCTGGCAACACCAAAGAAGCTGAGGTCCAGCGCCTCTGTGCTCATGCCGTTGTCTTCAGCACTGCTCTTTGCTCCTACTTCGAATCAGCGACAACTCGGTTCTACGAATAGCTTACCTACGGTCAATCCAAACCCAGAGTCTCTGAAGCCAGCGGTCATCCCGCAAGATTTCGATGTTCTTTTTGCAATCGAACAGGTAGCCCTCGACGCCACGGCGACGAGCAATGGTGAAGAGAGCCAAGGCTTCCTCTATCCTGAGTTTCGTGTCGGCTGTATGAGTTTCAAGACGCTGCTCATGGGCCTCGCGGCTTGACTGAGGTTTCCTAGCAACGGCGGCTCGACCGTTCGTGTTTGCAGTATCGGTCGCTTCTCCCGCCTTGGAAATGCCGTGTTTGCCTCGATTTGAAAACAAGGAATTGGACATTGTATCCTCATTTGGAGGCTCTAGTCTGCGTATTGTATTTTTCAAGAAACGAGCCTCAGGAGTCGATTCGCTAGTGGAACTTGAAGAGTTGTCTTTACTGACAACAACGTTGCCAAACGGCGAGATCGCAAGAGCTGAGGCAGCGCCGTTGAGCTCAACAATACCAACACTATGATCGCCACGAAGGACAACTGCACAAGGCGTACCCTTGAAGCCAGCCAAATTGGTGAAGTCAAAGGCGACAATTCTCTCCTTCTCCGGACAGCCTTTTCGCTTATTATCCCATGCAAGCTCGACATGGTGAATGCGCTTGGTCAGGATGGATCGGTCATTCTTATTTGGCACGTCATAGTCTGGGTGCGGTCGTGAATCATAGTGGTTCATCGACAAAGAATATTCGTGTTTGGTTTCGAAGACTTTGAACTCTCCATTGCTTGCAAGAGCGCCGAGGCAGCCGGTTTTACCTTTGCAATATCGCAGACTCCAAATACTTGATACCATTACACCTGTGGGATCGACTGGCACTTTAGTTGATGCGTTCGCGGTACTGAACACCTCCTTGTATTCAAGCACTGGGCCTTCCGCTGGTGTGCTGAGATCTGAACCTGATCCTAGAGATGCTGCAGTATACGGCGAGCCATGACGAAGGTCCCATATCTGAATGGTCGTGTCTTTTGGGACCCCAGCACAAGCGAAGTAATTTTCATCCAAAGGATCAATAGCAATATTGAAGACACATGAAGTCTGAAAAAGCAGCGAAGGGCTCCCGGTATTCTCCCGTAAGTCATAGATTCGAATGCCTCTTCCCTTAATCCCAGCAACTAAGACCTCAGGCTGTGAAGAGTAGAATTTGATGCTTGAAATTGCTTCCGAGCTCGCAAATTTACGATAAGGTTCGACAAATCCTTTTGAGTTCCTGCTTCCTGGAGACATGACTGCTGGGAGACGTTGATTGACGTCCCATATGTTGAGACTGAAATCGTTCCTCACCCTTTCTAAGCCAGCAGCCAGAAGCCCCGTCCTACTAAAAGCGACAGCATTGCAAAGACGTTGATGCTTTGCAGGTAGAGGAATGTTGGCCACCGCGTCATCAATCCGCAAGATTGTGACTTCTCCAGACCATTGTCCCACAGCCGCAAGTCTCTCATCGTGTGGCGCCCAATCAAAAGCACGAAAGGGAGGGACCTTACTATACGTAGAGAATTCCTGATGCTGAAGTTTTGTGCGATCATAACTATCGATTTTACAGCGTTTGAAAGAGCGACCGTTAACATCTGCAATGAGGAAACGCTGCTCTGACAAAGTCGAGCTTTCAGACCATCTTATCGCAGTCTCCATCTCGGCATACGCTGCTTGTCAACTCTGCATCTGTACCTAGACACTATTCGCCGGATCCCAGAAGGTGGTCGGTCTGGCAAAGCCGTGAGGCTAACATGATGCATTGGTTAGGCCATTACCTAGAAACATTAGTTCCGTAGACTCGTGTTATCATTGGTAGCATCAACCGGACGATGCAGCCGCATGATGTGTTAGGGCTTGTTGACCGTCAAGAGGTGAACTATGAAGTGGTCGTATTTTTGTTTAGCGTCAAGTATGTTACGGCAAGCCCCACCAAAAACTCCAATCTCCTGCAGCAAATTCCATTCACCTGGACTCAGATTATCATAACAAGTACGGACATGGGAATCAAACGCCCCCTTCACGATGACTCTATGCCATCAGAGTCAGCGTCTCCACGCACCCCCAATCACCCTTCCAAGCGTCGAAAATCCAACGACTTCGCAATCCCCGCCATCAAATCCGCCTCTGTCAACCAGCTCAAGTCGAAGATACGAGACCTGACCCGTGCACTCGAGCATTCCGACCACCTGCCCGCTGGCGTTCGAATAGAGAAGGAGCGGGCGTTGGCTGGTTACAAGCAAGACGTAGAGAAGATTCACGAAGACAAGCGGAAGAACGAGCTCATCAAGAAATACCACATGGTGCGGTTCTTTGGTGGGTCACTCCTAGCTCTGAGCAAGCCGCGTCCGCTTGGCGAAATAGTTTGCTGATCACGCCGATGTTTCAAGAGCGCCAGAAAGCCACCAGGGCCCACAAAAGGCTCACGAAACGTCTTGATGCCTCCTCGCCCGATGCGGCCGAACACAAGCAGCTCGAAAGGGAGGTGCATGATGCGGAGATCGATGTCAATTATACAATCTACTACCCTCTGACCGAGAAATATCAGAGCCTGTTTCCACGCCGAGAGGATGCCGGTGGTGTGGAAACAGCAGCGAAAAAATTGGTGACAGAGAAACCAGCTATCTGGAAGGTGGTCGAACGATGTACGGCAGACGGAACACTGGAGGCGTTACGAGACGGGAAATTGGCGACCGGTGTACCCGTAGGCAATACCAAACTTGCCCTGGAGAAACCCAGGCCGGAACGCGAAGGCAAGAAAGGTCGCGCCGAATCTAAATCGTCCAAGAGCGCACCGCTGCAGGAGCAGGATGAGGAGAGTGACGGTGGATTCTTTGAAGAATGATCGTACTGAAAGCCTGGAACGAACCCAGTAGCAATATCATCCGAATCGCCATTCGAGAGCCGGAGACTGCCGAAGCGGAAAGACTGAACCCTAGGGTATTCTCCAACCTCCGTGAAGGCCAAAGGATGATCTTATCTACCATCCGGATGATGTTGCTCTAATCACGCAGATCAAGAGGACTGTAGCCATGCCAGTGTGCCAATGCCTTGATCACAAGCCCTGAAATGGGGACCTCTTTCCTGACTTCTTCCAGACTTGCGACAGCCAGAATTATAAGGTACATTAAGGCGATCTTGGTTTACGTATACGCTGACTTCGCCGTTTTTAGCAGATTCATCCTCAGGTATACTATTCAACCGACTAGAAAGGTTTCTTGAAGAAGCATGGTCCGTAGCTGTATCCATTCATATAATGGGGGTAAAGGTACAAAAAGCCAGGAATGTAAACCAATATCACAATATCACTGATCTCAATCATCCCATTTATCCTTCACCGGGGCAGCCGGCTCAAGCTTCTCATTCCCATTGGCTTCCTTTTCTCGGAGCACCTTCTCTCCATTCAATTCTCCTTGAGGCGCCTTCGCCCCATCCACCTTGTCTCGAGACCCCTCTTCCCCATCCCCCAACCCAACACCCAACCTATCCATTCTCTCCTCCATCTCCCCCACCTCCTCACTCTCCACCTTTTCCCCGTACAAAATCTTCCCCTCCCCTCTCACCTCCACCCACTTGACCCATTCAAACCCCAACATCTTCGGCTCCCCCACACCTTCAGTCAATATAACGCCATTCTCACTTCTCCACCACTTCACCCCGCCCTCCAAAGACTTCTTCACATCGACCCAAATCACAACCGTACTCGTATTCCTAATACCAGAAACAACCTTATCCACCGGCTCCTTATTCGGTTTACTCCGGGACTGAAAATCCCGATTGAGCGGCGGCATCTTATCGGGCAACCTGGTTGCGAAGTGGATATGCTTCCTTCCCATCGGCTTTAACCCGCCGCTGCGTTCAATCTCCTTCCAGGGCCGATTATCCGTTCCGTGCACGACGAATTCCGGACAGTCCGGATCGGTCAGCAGGATGGGTTTGAAAATCTGCTCACTGGAGACGGTCGCTATGGAATGACCTTGGGTGGCGCGGATCCGCCAGTTTGACAAGTCGGAGATGGAAGCGGTGCTGGCTGTGGCGGAGGGTGCGCGGAGGGGACCGGCGGGGTCGGGTTCGATTTGGTAGCGCTTTTTGTCATTGGTGGCGACGACGGATTGCAGTTCGGCGAGGTCGACTTTCAAGGAGGCAATGCGGCGCCAGAGGAGCTGGACGGGTTGGTCAGTTGGGATGCATGGAGATAGATAGGGCTTCGGGAAATTGTAGGAACGAGTACTAGTATTTCTGAGGCATCTGTGAAGATGGTAGAGGTTCTCGAGTATGAGGGGAGACAGATAGCACACATGAGGAGAAATGCCAAGATGCTATTGGCAGCTTTTCGTTTCTGTTGTAATAGACCAAAGGGAACAATCGTAACGGACAACATGATTCAATGGTTCGAGCGAAAAAGATGCAGATACATAGATGAGATACAAGAAGGACCTTTCAACAGAAACCATATAATTTGCACAAAAAAAAGAAGACCATCAAAGACGCACCACATCAGCTACATTAGCCCACCCCGCCTCATCCAGCTGAATGCCCTCAGTCTTCGCCCCATGCCTAAGCAGATAACTAAGACTCTTCGAAATATCAACCTCCCGTGAGGCGCCTTTGCCTTTTCGGCTGCTGGACATGTCGCGGAAAGTGCCCGCTTTGGTTGAATGGAAACGACCAGCAGACGACGAGGTTCTGGATTGACGGAGCCTCTTTGGGTATGGGGAAGAAGAGGAACTGAAGGGAGAGAAGGAATCGTAAAGAGAAAAGGCTGGTATGTTAAATATTTGCGTGGTGGTGTCAAGGTGGGGAAAGAGCGACACCTTGCAGCCTCGTGTCGTTTTTTGACAGGTTCTCGGAATGAAAGAAGGGAGGGTGAAGATTCGGTGTGGGTGTTGCATATGAGGTTCTGGTAACATTCTGGTAATGGAAAATGGGAATGTGACTGTAGGCGGTGAAGAGTAGAGTACGAGTCAAAATCTGATGTAGCCCTAGCCATATTTTCGGTAACCCAACGAGTCCTGTGACAGGACTCCTTTCCGATTCTTCACAAGTCACAACACATTTCCTGGCGCATGAGTAGTCTATGATGCCGGACTTTTATGCAGGCACTTGCGAAACATCGAAACTACTGCAGGGGCTACATGTCCTGGGTTCAGATTACCAAGCTTGCAGATACCGGGATAAGCGCATGAGCATTGAGCAGGCCTGCATGATCATTGATCATCGAAAACCAAAGGCTGCGACTAGAAGGTCTTAGTGTAGCTCTATATTGTATCAGATATCTCAATAATCTGTTCGGTAAGATCAAAAGCAAATCCGCCAAGGCTTCACGACCTGATACCGATATATCGCTTTTCTGCCTTCCAGGCAACCCCGTTCTTGCATTTGGCCTCGCCAGCCTTAGCTTCCTCTCTAGACGCTAATACCATAATGATTCGTATTCCCGACACCTGGACACCGCGCTCGCATTCCGTTTCCGTTGAACCCCCTACTCCAATTGCTACGAGCAAGAAGAGGAGGCTACCCGTCTAAACCGAGAGTCGTACCCTTACTGCTCTACCTTAGGCTGCCGCAACCTTCCGGAGGCAATGCCTATCCTCGATTGACTTGCAGACGTATGCTGGCCAAGCGAGGCGATCCTCCGTTGCCTCGCTTCTGCCAAACGGCTGCTATCTGCCGAGGACGGCGGTGTTGAACGATCAAGGTATGTTCTGTTTCCCGGCTGCACGTGAGGCGTGAGTGGAGACTGTGAGCTCGGAGGAAAGTAGCTTTTCCGTGTAGGTAGAGATGATTGGACGGATGGAGATCGTTGCGCGTGGTTGGGCATTGGATGCTGGGATGTGTATTCCCGAGGTGTTCTTGTCTGCGGCGAATGTCTTATCTGCCTGATTTCCGTCGTGGCTCGAGACAGCGGCCTCCTGCTGCTTGTAGTATCCCCTTGATCATCAGTAGCGAGACCGCTGTGGATCACCGAAGACATCCTATCCAATCTGGTTGATGCAGGCGGCACTGCTTGAGTGGGCGTAGGAGCTTCCTGTGGAGACTCCATGCGACCAAGGGGACTGGAGCCAAGCGCAAGGCTCGTACGTCGAGCTTCCAGTCGGCTCATGACCCTGGAGCTTGATCTGAATTCTGGTTCATCGCTGGTGGCACGAAAAGACCTCAGGTCCTGCACAGCGGGTTCATTACGTTGTGCTGCCGTGTTGGCGTCCTTACTTCCCGATCGAATTTTGCTGACGGCAATTTCAGTCTCTGGGGTCTCTTCTGCCAACGCAATGCATAGTTCGGTAAGACTTCGACACATGTTGTCTGCCTTTCTGCGCAATTGCCGGTCGATTCCACCGGAGATGCCAGCCATCGATGCTCCGCTAGGAGAGACACCTTGTGTGCTTGCACTTCCTGCCATGGCCGCCAATGCTAGCGCGTCTGATGCTGTAGCCTCCAGAGCTTGGTAGAGGTTCGCATTGATTGCGTGTTCAGTCTTTGCCAAAGCGGCATGCAGGAGTGGATGTACGTTCGCAACTTCGGGTACTTTGACCGTAGAGGCTTCTGGGGAGACATTTTTCCCGTGGCGACGTTTTGGTGACAAGGAATTGGTAGTCATGGTTGTTGTTGCAGTCGGCGGACGTTCGCGAAAAGTGTTGGATATCGCTGCATTTGATGAGGCAGGTAATTTCCCAGTGATCTCAAGCTTGCGTATTCTGGACTTCATGTCTTCCAGCTCATCCCAGACAGTTGAGGGTGCTGTTGTGGACACTGTAGACTCGGTGCCTTCTGCATGGGGCGTTTGAGGGTCTTCATCTGCTTCTCCGCTCAGGTCTTGAAGCCCTGAAAAATATGAAGACTCGTAATCGCCATCGCCATTGGGTAGATAGGACAAATTAGATTTTTTGTAGCCCTGGCCCACCAGTCCAGAGGATGGCTCACGTATAGATTGTCGTCTTCCATATCCCAGTGGCAGCTCCGGCGATCGGTCTTGCGCCAGGCCGTCTCGTGTTAAACCTCCGAATGATGTTCTGGTATTACTGGTGCGGTGCGGTTGGTCGAGGGGATGTGCAGATACCGCATAAGATCGGCTTTTGGCTGAGGAATCTCTGAAAGAGGAGGGCGAGTCCTTCTCGGGTGAACGGTGGAATGAGGAGTTGAAGGAGGACTCGTAGTGGTCATGTTGCATCCGTGAGACCTGTTGGCCAAGGCCCCCAACGCTGGTACTCGGCCTGTGTGAAGATGATGGTCGAGATTCGCGCGGCTGTTGCAAACTTGAAACTCGAATTCGAGAACGTCTTCTTTCGCTCCTGTTGGACGGCTCTGGCCCATCGTCAACTACCGAGTCTGCCCGTGCCAGGTTCAAAAAGAGGTCTTCTTGTGAAGATTGATATTGCTGTTGACCGCTTTCCTTCCTAGTATGCCTTCCGCTTTTTGCCTCATTACCATTGATACGCAGCGTTGAATCTCGATCTTCTTCACTTCCGGACTGGACTTCATAGCGTCCGTCCATTGCTATTGTTCCACCCTCCACTATCGAGGACTTCCCTGGTCGTGCTGAGTGCGCATTCTCCAAGGTATTAGGTTCGATACGTTCATTTGCAGTATGGTGTGTTTGTCTGACAATCGAATCAATGCTCGCGCTGTGTACCATAGGTGGGTGTATGGCTCGTGAGTCGCTTGGAGGACTCCGCCACGGAAATTCGGCGTTGTAGGATCGCCGAGTGATCAAAGCTGGCGGAGGACCTGAGGACGTCTCTATGCCATGGCTAGATCGTGAAGCAGGTGGCCTTCTATTCTGTGGGGATCGAGCTTCGGTGCCCGAAGCACCAGGCTGCTGGGCGAAGTAAGATCCAAGCGGTGGGGCAAATGGGGGAGGCGCTGTCGAGGAGGATGGCGAATGTGCTTGTAACCCAGCTAAAGAGTCGGAGATGTTGGTTGTAGCCTCAGGCGAAGTAAGTGATGTGAAGTTGGCGGGCGCGATTGCTGAGTGACGTGGTGGTGAAGGTAGCGCTACTGCGGCCGATTGGCCAATAGGAGAGTCTTTGTTAGAGCAACTCGACGTGTTTTCTGATGCTGCTGATACGAACGACCTCTCACTATCCGATGGCGGAGATACTTCACGCATGTGGTGCTGAACAACGCGTGAAGGCATTGGTGTCTTCAGGCCAGCGTGACGTTGTAGGGGTTGCTGTCACAGGTGCGCCTGGCCGTTCCTGCCTTCTCTTGCCTCAGAATGAGGCTTGAACAGAGCGACACATGCGCTTTATTTCCATGGGCCCAGGAAGAACCAATCGCTCTTCAAAGATTATGAATAATGGAGGCGTGTGCGTTCTTTAAGGTAGTCTACTAAAAAGCCACGACTCGGCGGCGGGGCCAAGCCTCATTGGTCCATTCCCTACAATACATGGAATAGTGAACATGGACTCCCACCGTGGCTCCCTCTCGCTTTGACTGTCCTCTACAATGTGGGTGTCACAAAAGATAGTCTTGACGACTTCGAGCATCAGGATTACCGTAAGCGGGACTTATTTTTATTAAGATGTAGAGTTTTGGCTAACCTCTATTGTCTGCGCATTCCGTCAAGGACATTGGCTGAGCAAATGAAGCTCATGAGAGACTGAGACTCTCTATTGCTGTACTCACACCGCTGCCGTCTCCAACCTCACCATCCATAGAGCGATCATAATCCAAGCTAGCATCATCGTTGGTTCTCCTTTCTGGCAACTCCGGAAGTATGTCCACCTCGACACGGTACTTCTCATTCCCTCCCCAGTACGCATAGTAAGTCTTGTTCCGGAGTGGATCTTTCACACTATTTTCAAGAAACGTATCAAACCAGGATACCTCCCAAGTAGACGGAACCATCACGGACCAACGGGTTGGAGACGCAAATACAATTTCTCTGTTCTTGAAACCGGGTACCTGTGTACACAGCTTGATGTATTCCAGAGCTTGAGAAGGTCTCATATCTAGATACAGCTTCCGGAGGTTGCCGTGCTTGTTGAGCAGCTGCACTGCTTTCTCGGCGTCCGGGTGCATCTGATCGCTGCGCAAGGAGGCGCGCTGGACGAGAGTGTGTTCGGGCAAATCGTGCTGAGATCGAAGATAATCCAGGTAATTTTGAGACCATCGTAGCACCGGCACAAGCATGTCTTCGAGGTGCAAACATCTAAGTTTTCCGCAACGCTCTGTTCTGAGATGGCACAGGAATGAGAGCATGTCTTGAGGTTTGGAGAGATGGATCTTGTTGAGAGTGTAGAATAGGAGCGAAGTTTCGTGGTATATTTGCCTGCATGTCTGTAGAAGGGCAAGACATGATGCTGGCCCCGCTGGGCATCCTGGGAGCTGGGGTTGTGGGCTGTGTTGGGGCTTGATCATTGGAACCGATATGCCGTCCTTCAGCGGTGATAGAGACCCGACTGTAAGCACGTCTTTGAAGATGTTCGCACGAATTTCTGGCGGTAATTTGCCGAAAGCCGTCTCAAGGAACGGCCTTCGGACTGGATAGCACTTGAGGCATTGCTCGTTGGCTGGAATGCGTACCCATATCTTGGATTCGTGATGTTGGTGACTTTTCTTTCGGTTGGTTGTGCGAGCCGTCGAAGGCGGTTGTTGGTGGAACATGGCCGACTGATTTGATACTAAGGTTGGTACTCGAAAGGGGGGAAGGGTGTAAGCACTCTTAAGTACGCTTCAAGTGAATTTTCTTGTGTGTCGATGCCACAGTCGAGAGCGTATGTGTTGACTTCTTGAGCGTGCTGACAGGGGAAGAGTATTCGGTGTTTAGGCTCCGGTGTCAAGTCGAGACATTGAATCTCATCAACGCCACGATTGAATGAATATGTTGACATTCCAGGCCGCTACGACTCAGATCTAGCTCTAAATTACCGTAAGCTTGTTACTCGTCACTCCGGATAATGGTTGAAAATGCTTTGATTCGGAAAGGAGAGCCGGCATAAACGAGAAAACGTTGATTCCTCTCAACACCTGCTGCGAGTATATAAGGGCTTTCAGTTCAGCACTGCATCTCTCTATCGCCGGCGGGTATTGGGATGTGAGTAGTGCAGTACATCCCCAAGAGGATACAATCATTTTTATCTTATCAACACGCTTGAACATTCTCCTACGGTTCTTCAACTTATTCATATGTCCAACAGCACATCTAATGCCTTTGATTCCCTCTTCTATCACACACTCTTCTCAGAAGTGGATTCTGTTTATGGCTCTACAATACTCGCCTTTTACCCCCTTTTGTCTACCCCTTCTCGGGTCAACGCCTTACGACATTTCTCCACTCTTCTTCCAGCCTGCTCACCTCTCATGCATCCTACCCCTCTCTCCTCACTCTTCCTCCACCAATCCTAAAACCTCAAAATCCAAATTCACTCAAGAAACTTGTTCAACACATCCTTGCATGTACTGTTGGTGAACGTAATCACCTGCGGATACTCGGCCGCCAGCTCCGGCGCCTCCTTGGCCAGAAAGTCTTCGACAAGGTCGTCCAGCGCATCGCATAGAAACTCGGCCAATCCCGTGCCGAGAACTTCGTAGGAGATTCCGATCGTCTGTGGATAGATGGTGATGAGTGTTAGCCAATCTGCCTTCTTCGTTTCCTTGTTTTTCTTTCGTTCCTCATCTTCTTGTTCTCTCCCTTGTTCTCTCTGTTTTCCTTTCTTTCCCCTTTCTCACTGTGTTATGTTTGGGGAGATATTGTACTCATGGGTGGCTGTTGAAGGGAGAGGGAAGGCGGGAGGCAGGAGACAGGAAGTAGGAAGTAGGACAAAAGGTGGAGATCAGGAGAGAGTCAGAAACTCACCAGCCAATCCGGGACATTATCATCCTGCGCAACCTCAAGCTGTACATCCCCAGGCATAGTACAATAAGTCATCGCGATTGGCTCGCATGGCGGTCCCCCCTGCCACACCGGCCTGCCGCCCGAACCCGATCCGCCGCCAGGCTCGATGCTCTTCCTTTTTAGCGGCTGGCAGTCGTCGGTGATATGCAAGGCCGAGTGCGTCTGACAGAGATCCTCCGCCACCAACCCTTTCATGAATGTCGCCATAAAAGCGAACATGGGGTTACGAGCCTCGGTGCTCGTGAAGCCGATGCTGGCGATAGCGAAGGAGAGGAGACCCTGCCGTTGGACGAAACTCCATACGCGCAAGTGGCGTCACGTTTTTGATTCTGACTCCCCGGGCTGACATAGCCGCAAACGGCTTGGTAAGGCGGCAACAGTAGGCAGCCTGTCAAATAAGCTGTACCCACCAAGTCGACATATATCTTCAAGGAGAACCGTGAGAAGTGGAGAGAACGAAACGCAACGATGAAGCATCTACGTCTGGATTGAAGTTGACACGCATTCCCTCCGTCATTTTTACTGTCAAGTAAATCGACATCGGACAGCCCGGAATCCACGCCCACGACAAAGATCTCGGACTCATCAAGGCCAATACTCAAGAGTTGGCTGAAAATTTCGTTATTACCATTAACGTCCTGTGGAATTACATTCCAGATATCGTAAGTGGTGCGTTCTTATACTGCATATGCATCAGATTTCATGCTTGTGGAGTTTGCAACCATTGAGGAGTAGCCATGAAATATCAACAAGGACGACTCTCAAACGTTCACTTTTGTTTAATTTGCAAGCAAGGAGGATACGCCAGCGGCGAGAGAGGAAACCGCAGTAGCATTCGCTTGAGTCAATGTGCTCTGGCTGGCGGCGAGGTAAATGCTAACGAGGAAACCGTTTGCAGTATGGAGTACTAAACAGGAGCCCAACAGCGGGACAAAAGAGCATTGCATTCTAAAGAAGTGAAAACCGCGAAACGAGGGGAGAAAGACACTTAGAAAGCAAGGAGAATATTCTGAGGTGGATAACGTACGTTCTACCTTCCACCAAGAAATATAAATGCGTTATTGAAAATCGACAATCGTGACTGAGCGGTGGACTTGTTTGGAACATCGCATTGGGCCAAAGCAATTTCTTCGTGCCACTTCCGTTATTCTTCATACCCTTACAATTGCATTCTGAGATGAGGATGACTTGAGAACACGAGAAAAAACATGGTGCCGTCCACTGTTCATGAGGAGCAGGTTGATGATCCAGGGAAATCTTGAGCAATGCTATTGCCGTTGGGATTGTGGAATAATCGAAACGACGCACAATTTCCGCGCGATGTGCTCTTTCAAACAATATTGAATATCTCTCGGCTGCGTAGGTACCCAGAGGCTACAAATAGTGTGATTGTTGTGCAATGATTGCCACCAGCTGCGAAATTTGCTCTACTGTCCAATCAGAAGGACCTTCTTTAAGCTAATTTCGTTTGTCGTTGCTGCTTATTTACGTCGCACGCGTCAGCTTGGTGCCGAGTGCTACTTCCCCCTAGAATCTCTCGTGCAAAACCGCAATGAGGCATAGCAGGGGCCGGGGGAAAAAAGAGCAGTCTGCCTTTTCTTTGACGCCTTTGTGTTTGCCAGAGCTCTGCGTTGAATTTCACAGTCAATTGTTCCAAGTCGTGGAAGAGTGTGGCATGGTTTTCTAGTGAACTGTACTTCGAATACATGGATGGAATATCCCCGATATCACTCGAGGTCCATTTACGATTCAACACGAGGAAAATTCAGACGACATCACGTACCAGATTTGGATCTCTCTATATCTGACTCAGTATTTGACATATCGTTCCATATACCGTACTCGCGACTCGTAAAGGTCTTCAACATGTTAAGAAAATGGGTATTCTTCCATCTCTCCTATCCCTGTACAATTCTATCTATCCTCTCGTAGATAGCTGTGCTTTTAACCGCCATCATCCCTTCCAGTCAGGCAAACACTGCCCCTTTCTTCAACCCGACTCGGCTCAGGTCACGCTTATCAGCGCAATTCACTCTAAAAATCGTACCGCCACCGTCCACGGGAGATACATGTCTACCGAGAATTAGCTTTCTTTGTCGGTAGCTCGCAGACATTCCTGGTGTGGGTGACATCTTGTGGGAATGAAAGCTGATCTTCTTCGTCGGTCGCGTTCTCCTGTAATAAACTGGAGTTGTAATGAACTGGAGGAGAGGCGCAAGCGAGCCTAGATTACAATTTCGCAGTCAGTGTTGCCCATTCGAGGAGGGATATCGAACCTTGGGACATGTATCGAGAGCATAGGCTCCCGAGATGTCTCAAGACTCAAGGTTTATTCCCAAAGGAAAAATCTGGGTTCCGAAAATACATACTGGAGAGCCGAGGGGGCATACTAGATCGCTTCGCCGTCGGTATTGCTTATCTGAAAGGGAAGAGCCCATCGAATCTTCGAAAAATTATTCGAGAGTAGAAACCACAAATACTCTCGGTTGTTCGAGGGCGTTCAAAGCGTACTTCATTCCGGAAGGAACGGTAGGAACGGTTGCATTCTGTCTTTCAGTAGGTCATAGTTGAACTTCATACTAAGAATCAGTCTACATGATCTCAGGACCTATGCCTCGACTGTGGCATACGATTCGACCCAGTTTACTTGTTGACAGCTAAAAATTGATGGTCTTTGACACGAAGACCAAACATTTTCTCTTCAACAAAACCTTAGATCTAATGCTTTTCGTACTCTCGCACCCAACTCACGTGCAGAGGTACCCCAGTAGGGCTCAAACATGGCCATGACAGTATCGTATTCGTCGATGACAGTAGCGTTCAGTCTGACGGCGACATGATACCAATCATCAAACCCGGATGGCTATCTGTTATATCTCTTTCTATAGCACGCAATGGCATCTTCCAATGACTTGGATTGACTCTCGATCATGTGAGTATACTTTCGCCTGGCATCCTCAGCCATCATCTCAATTGGGTGTATTTGGCCGCTCGTCGAGCCTGGGGAACCGAGACTGAGAGAGTCGACATCCCCGCCTGCCATTGGCCAGAGTTGTTGAGGGTAGGCCGTTAAGATGGGAGAACGAGAGGAAAGCTATGACGCAGAAGAAAATGAACAGCTTCCCAGCGTGCGTGTGAAGCTACTGGAATAGAGTCATCGCTACTAGACGGTTTTGAAGTCTTCAGGGAAAGAAAAGGCAGGCTTGGTGCGCAAAGAGAAGAAATGGAAGGAATTTTCAAAGTTCATCAATTATGCAAGATATCATGGCCTGGATCTAGTCCCACTGGAAGAAAACCGAATCGAAGACAACGAGCCAAACCAACACCCATATCGACCCACACATTCTTTCGCCCCCGCATCTGACCCTCTCCAAGCCCCAATGCATACAGACATCCAAGAGTTACCACGGCACCCCACGTGTAGAGCATCCAGTGACAGAGGATCAGACATGGTTCGGAAAAGGGTTGTATCCTGTGTGCAAACTTGTCCTCCGGGATCTGAATATCTCCATCGCTTTTGCACAGTTCCGGAGTCAGCGCCTCCGTTATTGAATCGTTTGTGGTATTGGAGATCTCAGAGTTGAGCATGGACTGGACAGGCGTTGGATCCCCGGATGAGCAGCTCTCGTATTGGGAATAGCTGCTGGAGGGATCCGAAAAAGGCACGATGGTTCGTTGGATGGTGAGAGTTTGGAGTTGCGGTTTGTGTGTGAGAGTGTCTGGGGATGATTGTGTGGACCTGGAGGCGAGTGGTTCTGTGTGAAAATCTTCTCTAAATTGGATTATTAAAGCACACAACATAATATTGCAATTAAATTTCTGCAATAAATAAGTGAACTCTTGGCAATGTTCTGCAACCATGCCCCATTGTTAGGTTCATTCGAGTCAGGTGGTTCATGTATGCGCGTCGATGGGGAAAAAATCATTTCATTATTGTCTTTCCAAGTACATGAGCATTGCACGCCATCAAAATACTCTAAAATGGACGATTGTTGCCAATCAGCTTCAGAGGCACGGCACTACCATGTCTGAACCCCATCAATTCATATACTCCAACATACAAACAGCGACAGCAAGTATCAGCGGGTTGTCACGAATGCCTCGGGGTCTTCTGCCGTTGCTTCCCTCCTCGAGAGACTCCATGGTAGCGCTAGTGGCGAGAGAAGGTGTGTCAGTAGTACCGGAGAGGTCCGAGGATACCGAATTCGTGGCCGTTGTGGTGGTCGTCTCCGAGACTGGACGCTCCTGGCGTTGCGGTGGATGGTAGTCCATGTCGAAACAGCCGGGAAACTGTGCCTTGAGACCGACAGAAGGATCCTGGAGTTGCCTCTTTTTTTCGTAGCCGAGAACGCCGGCTTTCGAGAGCAGATCTCCGTTGTTCACTCTCCTGTGATGGCTTCGGAAGCCGAAGTCGGCGAATTTGGCGATGAAGTCGCGGGTATTTGTTTCCGATTCATGTTTATCGTAGGCGAAATCCCGGATTTTGGGAGGGTAGTCTTGGGTTGGGGCTCTTGTGTCTGTCAGGAGAAGGAGTTTAATGATGGTTAGTAACAGGACTTACCGCTGTGGTCTGTGTGCTTTGTCTTTGGGGAGGCTGGTGTACATCGCGGCAACGTTGGGATGCTCCTTGTACCTCTTGGAGGCTTGGTCGAGGTGTTTGTGGAACATACCTGTAGAGGTGGTTGTAGTATTTTGGAAACTTGGTAGGAGATACGTGGAATTGACTGTGTGTGTCTGTGTAGATTCAGAGCGTGTGCGTTGTTAAAGGGATGGAATTTCTCGGAAGAGGGGAGGGCTTTTGTCCTCGACATTCCGAGATAATGGAATAAATTGGAAAACTAAGGTCCGATTGTGATTCCAAGTAATGCATATAGAGCACGAGAGTCACGAAGAAAAGTGAGCCTTGGCATGTATCATTCTGCGCATATTTGCACCAATTTTTCTGTCTCTTCAACACCCATGATTTGCTCGAGACATCTTAATCGAAGCAAATCATGTGAGGTTGCCGGGCAATTATTCTTTGTTGGGAGAGGTGAGTGACGAGGAAGATAGACCTTGGGTCGAAGCAGCACAGCCATTAAGAAAGCCTTACACTCTTTCCTCAAACCCTTTCTACCTCTTACAATTACAAGTCTGAAGAAATCATTTTTGTACGGTCTTGAATAGTGCTACATTGGTGTGGCGACGGTGCCGCTGGGTTCCATAAGTGATGGCTTATTCATGGGAAGATACATGCAACTGGTGGATAGACATCTAAGGCACCGGATCACCATTCCGCGTACACTACCGGAGTGTCAGTACCTAGATCGCATATCCCTGCAGTTGCTGTGGGAACACTGCATGACGCCCCCAAAAGAGGGCAGTTCAGCTTCCCGACTACTTGGTAATTGCCATTGTACGAGCAGCCTTGAAGACAGTGGGGGTTGAAAGGGGCCGATGTTGATCGGATAGTTGCTCTTGACGCCACAATTCTACTGCGGGTACCGGTGCTGGTATCTTGGGGCTTGGTAACTGGCTTTGCCCTCGCATGTCTCTACGGACTGGCCGGGCATGATGTCGTATTCGAAGGCCGTGCTTGAGCGTTCGGACGCACCGTGATCTGAAACACAGATGTCGCGACGGTAGATGATCATCGCCTGTGACAGGGTCGCGGCGGGCACTGAGCTCGTAGCGATTGCTGATGTAGTGGTAGTGACAATGGCTTCACTGCTCGTTCTTGGGGTTGAAGATGACGTGTATTCTGTATATGTCTCTGGAAAAGCCTCGGTGACGAGTTGGCCATCATATCTCGTAAGAATATCTTTGGGCTTTATGCAGATTGTGTGTGATCTAACCGTCCAGCTACGCAGACTTCGAGGTCAGCATGGCTTCTTGGGGGCATTGACTTGAACTCCAAGACAATTTTAGAAGACTTAAGAGCTTATGGGCCTCGGAAAGTATGCACGCACTCAAAACCATGTCAATTGTGAATATATTATATCACTGAATTGTATGAGTTCACACACACAAGAGAGGGTGGCGAGACACAAGATTATCCAAGCCCACTGCGGCAAGTGGGCACCGGAAGCTTTGCGTATGCAAGTATCGTGAATGACGCGTATGACAATGCCGAGAGGGTAACGTTCATGGGACTCCTGAGCAAGCTAGTACAGTTGGGCTTCAGGGTTAATGGTGGCGGTAATCTGTACCAGATTTAGGTGCCAGGAGTGAGCAATGTCGGCAGGTTTCACTTCGATAAAGACGGTTGACCAAGCTTGAACCTACCACCATCTCTTCAAGAAGACGGAGGATCATTGAATATACAAACTGAGACTTAAATTAGAGATGCAAGGATATGGAGGAAGCAAACTTGAACGATACCTTCGTCTATGTCTCACACCATTAGTGCACGTCGGAAAGGCCGGCAGAGGCGTGGAGGTGGTTGACTTCAGAGAGAACCTGAGCGTTTCAAGAGCTAATAATTTCTCATCTCCAATGGATTCATACAGAGATGCATACTCTTTCCTAGGACATCGGCCTACCAGAAGCTAAAGTCCGGCTCTCTAAGGTAGATAAGCATGGGAGTTATATACATCTTACTTTCTTCCTATCGAGCTTAACTCAAACTAAGTGTTTATTCCCAATGTTTAGACGCAGTCTTTTTGCGCACCGTTATACCTCCGTACGAGTACGTGTAGGACAATTTAGAGGGAAAAAAACATGAACTAATCTCAACACAGCTAGATTGGATATCTCTTGGCACTTGCATCACAATACCCAACGCATCGCAATCTTTTTACCATGGTTCACGTTCACACCTTTCCACCAATAGTCAAAGTATGCTAATCCGACCAGAAGATTCTGCACGCTGAGAAACCAAGAAGTCGTCAGCTGAGTCATTCGACCGGTTCTGGTCCCTTGATACACGCCACATCTTCCTAATTACGAGCTTTTGCCTTTTACTTCCAAGGGTTCTTGCGATTCCCGACGGGTCTCACAGAATGTTCGCATAGGGAAAATGGTATCAAGGAAAGTTTTGAAGGTTTCCGCGGTGTCGGACCTTCGCGCCCCGAAGCGTCCCCACAGCGGGATTGTTCTAGTGGTCACCATCTCAGTGACGCCCAGATTGTGGCGCTTATCGTTGCTCTGTCGTACTTGTTGATTTAGACGACAAAGTTGCTGTGGATAGACAGGGTTCTTCTAAAAACAACTGTAAGTGTTGTTCTCACTTCTTCGGAAAGCCTCGGTACATGGTATTGGTGCATAGAGGGTACTTGTATCTCTGGATGAGAATCTCTGCATGACCTGCGTAAAGGGACATGGAGTTTTGAAGACGAAACCAATGCGCCTGTAAAACACTGCTTGTACCTGCGTTTCTCGTCTCCGCTGACAAAGACGAGGGGTTGAACGTCGGTGTCAAACATGTGCGTCTAAACATCGTCTCGAGCCTGTCCACTGTTTCCTTCCTAGTGTCCATCATATTGAGTGAGCTTCACAATAGACTTTTGGTGAGTTCTCACCTTCTAGACTTCGGCCATTTGAGGCGGTTATAAAGTTTGATGTGGCTTCTACCTTTTCGAGTGGCGTTCGTCTCTGGTAGACATTGATGTTTCTCTTCTCAGTGACACAGATCCTTGACAGGAAAGCTTCGAATCTATCCATGGTATTTTAGTGTCGGCGTTCTAACCGCACCGTGCTCTATCAATTATGATGATGTTGGGGTGTTTTGGCCACTTCCGTGATAGCCGTCCGCCTTTCTTAAGAGTAAGGCGCTCTTCAAGCGTGGTTCATCTTCTCAGGCTACGACTGTACCGTAAGAGATTACTCAAGACCCTCGGGTTTGATATTGGGTGCGACTCGATATGAAGCTCAGCTTTCTTCTTGCCCTCGCCGCCGTGGCCCTGCCTGTACTTTCGGCAACAACAGCATCGAGCACAATCGTTTCAAGTATTACTACTTCGAGCACATCATCATCCGGCACGGCCTCCTCCAGCGGTCTTGTATGTCCAGCAGCGGCCGGTACAATCTATGACAGTTACTTGATCTATTGTGGTGATGCCAGTGTTGAAGATGATGGCAGTGCTTACCACATACAAATCAACGAGGCAAGTGCAACGGGCTGCGCATCTCTTTGTGATGGTTATACTTTCACCGATGGAACTACGTGTACAGCATGGGCCTGGGCTACTGAAAATGATCTTTGCAACTTGAAGAACTCAACCGCGAAGATTTCCAGCAACAATTATAATGATCGTCTCTTGGGTGTCCGGCAAGGTTCTTTTACCAACACCTCCTGTTCGACATCGGGTTCTTCTACTGTTTGCTCTGTCACTACAACGGCTGGCAGCTCTTCTTCAACCACCTCGCCCATTAGTCCCTTATCAATAACCGCATCTTCCACCACCAGCGCTCTTTCAAGCACGTTATCTAGCGGCTCGTCGTCTTCAACAAAATCATCTATTATCAGCTCATCGTCAAGTGGACTTGCAAGTTCTTCTAGCACGTCGGCAAATGCTGTTAAGATGGCAAATTATGTTACGTCAGTAAGTTCTAGCACGCCGGCAAATTCTGGCACCTCAAGTTCTGGCACCTCAAGTTCTGGCACCTCAAGTTCCACCATAGTAACGCCTTCGTCCACACTGTCACCCAGCGGCCCCTCGTCTTCAACAATATCATCTACTATCAGCTCATTGTCGAGTGGACTTGCAAGTTCTTCTACCCCGCCGGCAGGTATTGTTAAGGGAATTCATACTACGGTGATAAGTTCTAGCACGCCGGCAAGTTCTGGCACGTCAAGTTCTGGCACGTCAAGTTCCACCACAGCGACGCCTTCGTCTTCAATGCCTTCCTCAGTAATAACTAGTTCATCATCACTGTCGACTCTATCGTCGGGTTCCTCAAGCTTGTCGTCATCACCGTCTATCGTTTCATCTAGTGTATTCACAGTCATCTCCTCAAGCACCTCTTTAACTACGTCCTCAAGCACGGTAATAAGTACCTACTTGGGGACTTCCTTTAGCACTTCTTCGAGCACACCTCCAAGTACATCAAGTACATATTCAGTTGCCGCATCAATTCTCTCCTCGAGTACGTCTTCCAGCAACCCGCCGAGTTCATCGCCAATCTCTTCAATAAGCTCTTCAATAAGCTCTGCAATAAGCTCTTCAATAAGCTCTTCAATAAGCTCCAGTACTCCATCCCCAACAATTTCTTTATCTTCGACGAATGGTCAGTCCTCCAGCATATTATCAAGCGCCATAAGCAGCAGCTCTTCCTCAGCAATCTCTTCGTCATCAAGCAGTAGCAGCATAAGCGTTTTATCGTCAAGCAGCGTACCGTCAAGCAGCGTACTATCGAGCAGCCTTCCGTCCAACAGCCTTTCATCAAGCAGCGTACCGTCAAACAGCATACTATCGAGCAGTTTTTCGTCCAACAGCCTTTCATCAAGCAGCGTCCTATCAAGCAGTATACTGTCAAGCAGCGTACTGTCAAGCAGCGTCCTATCAAGCAGCGTACCGTCAAACAGCATACTATCGAGCAGTTTTCCGTCCAACAGCCTTTCATCAAGCAGCGTCCTATCAAGCAGTATACTGTCAAGCAGCGTACTATCAAGCAGCGTACCGTCAAACAGCATACTATCGAGCAGTTTTTCGTCCAACAGCCTTTCATCAAGCAGCGTCCTATCAAGCAGCATACTATCAAGCAGCGTACTGTCAAGCAGCGTCCTGTCAAGCAGCGTACTGTCAAGCAGCGTACTGTCAAGCAGCGTACTATCGAGCAGCCTTCCGTCCAACAGCCTTTCATCAAGCAGCGTCCTATCAAGCAGCGTACTGTCGAGCAGCCTTCCGTTCAATAGCCTTTCATCAAGCAACGTACTGTCAAGCAGCGTACTATCAAGCAGTCTTCCGTCCAATAGCCTTTCATCAAGCAGCGTCCTATCAAGCAGCGTACTGTCGAGCAGCGTACTGTCGAGTAGCGTTCTGTCAAACAGCCTTCCGTCAAACAGCCTTCCATCAAGCAGCCTTCCGTCAAGCAGCCTTTCATCAAGCAGTGTACTGTCAAGCAGCGTACTATCGAGCAACCTTCCGTCCGTACTGTCGAGCAGCGTTCCGTCAAACAGCGTTCCATCAAGCACCGTACCGTCAAGCACCGTACCGTCAAGCACCGTACCGTCAAGCACCGTACCGTCAAGCACCGTACCGTCAAACACCGTACTATCAAGCAGCTTTTTGTCAAGCAGTCTTCCGTCGAGCAGCCTTCCGTCAAGTAGCCTTCCATCAAGCGGCAGTATTTTGTCAACAAGCAGTCAACCTTCAAGCAGTAGCAGTAGCAGCGCTAGCTTTTCTTCAACAACTTCTCCCATAACATCGGGGTCTGTGACTAGCAGTGGTTATTCGTCTTTTGTGTCGAGTAGTAGCCTCTTGTCCACGAGCAGCTTTTCTTCAATTGGCAGCTCTCCGTTGATGACCTCTTCGTTATCGATATCGGGTACATCTTCCCACATTGATCTTGGAATAACAGCTTTCTCGAGCTTTTCTTCCACCTCGTCGTCCAGTTTTCCGACCGGTTTGTCCAATTCATCATCTTGTACAAGCCCAGGATCTACCACCTTTTTGAGCAGTTCTTCCGGTTCTCAACCAAGCTCATCGTCTACTACGAACCCTGGATTAAGCGCTAGTTCTGCCGCTGTTACCCAGACTATCAATGGTCTTTTCTTCGACGCTGCTCCAAGCACTACTCCCAGCACCACCTCCAACGCGGATCCGGAATCGAAAACTTCCTCGGGCACCTCTTCGGTTACTTCTCCAAGTACTAGTTCCAACGCTCCTTCTAGTGCTACCCCCAGCAGTTCTTCGAGCACAGGTCCCGGATCTAGCGCTGCATCACTTATTAGCTCCAGTTTTAGCATCTATGGCAGCCATTCGTCCAACACTTCCTCCAGCACTATTTCGAGCACGGACCCCGGGTCTAGCGCCGCTACAAGTTCCAGTAGCTCTACTTCCAATGTGAACCTAGAATCTAGCTCCACGGCACTTTCCATAACTTCTTCTAGTTCGGTTCCTGCATCGAGTGCTTCTTCTGGCACGGGTTCTTCGAATTCCAGCTCCTCAGTTTCGGATCTAGGATCAAGCGTTAGCTCGATCTCTAGTACTCCTTCCTCGAGCTTAGGCCAAGCAACGAGTACTTTGATTAGCACAGGACTCTCGATCGCCGGTACTTCTACCAGTACTGACCATATATCAAGCATATTATCCTCTAGCATCGCCTCCAGCATGGATCCTGGATCCATCATATCGACGTCCAGCAATGCTTCGGCGAGCCTCTGCAAACGTGATGACCCTTGGTGCATTAGCTCGTCGGTAGCCCCATCAAGCCTAAACATTGGATCAAGCACATCAGCTTCCAGCGCAACTGTCGCGTTCAACAGCACTTCTGGCGCATATCCTATATCGACTACTCTATCACCTTCGAGTACTAACGCAAGTACTAATACTGGATTAGGTCCATCGAATTCCAGCGCAAGTCTAGCATCAAGTAGTGCTTCTAGCATGAATTTTATATCGAGTTCTTCCGGCTCTTTCGCGAGTACAAAAAATGGGTCAAGCTCATCAAGCTCGAGCACAGGTCTCAGTTCAAGCACCGCTTCTACTACGGGCGATACACCGAGTACTTTATTATTCTCTAGTACCCTGGCGAATCCAGGTCCCGGAATAAACATAACATCAGTATCCAGCACCTTTTCTCCCTCCACTCCTAGTATGAGTGTTGGCACGAGTAAGTCATCGATGAGTGCAGACCCTAATTTGAGCAAAGCGATAGCTCCTAGCACAAATAATTCCTCCACTCCGGATCCTGGCTCGACCACATCGGCCTCTAGCAGTATGAACCCTATTTCGGGCGTTTCTTCCTCTACCAGCACGGATCTCGGCCAGAGCATCTCGTCTTCTTCCAATACAGATTCCGGATCGAGTTATACTACAATGCCCATGAGCATCTCTTCTAGTACCGCTCTCGAAACCACTGCTTTTTCTAGCATTGGTTCTGCATCGAGCATTATTCCTATGTCCGGCCCAACCTTGAAGAACAGCACCTCTAGCATGGACTCGGGAACCCTTTCTAGCAGTTCTTCAAGCACCTCCGATGCTGACCAGGGAAGTACGTCATTGAGTACCGGCTTGGGGAGCATTGCTTCTAGCTCAGGCCTTGGATTGAGCACTTCTTCTACAACAGACCCAGGAAGCACCTCTTCTAGCACAAAATTTGTTTCCATTACGTCGTCGACCCTGAGTATCCTTTCTTCAAATGGGTCCTCCTCAATTACCACTACTGGATCTAGTTCGACCTCGGATCTAGCAGGCTCTAGTCCGCTCTCAAGCACAATTTCTAGCAGCTCAACATCAAGTGCAGATGCTGCTATGGCGGTTGGATTTGCCCTTGCCTTTGCTTTTAGCTCGACCGCGAGTACAGATTCTATCAGCTCCACTCTGAGTGTTGACCCCGGCACCACAACTTCGACTACGGACACCAACAGCTCAACATTAAGCACAAGCCTCGACTCGACTTCGAGTAACAATGCTTTTAGCTCCACATCAAACACAGACGCTGGCACGTCAGCACCAAGCCCCTCTTCTAGCTCCACGTCAAACACAATTGCTAGCAGTTCAACATCAAGTTCAGACTCTAGTTCAACTTCGAATACAGGCTCTAACAGCCTAACGTTAAGTGCAAACTCTAGTCTGACTTTTAGCACAGGCCTAAGCAGCCTGTCATCCAAGATAAATTCTAGCTCGACTTCGAGCACAGATTTCAGCAGCCTGGTATCAAAATCAGAGCTCAGTCTGTCGTCAAGCACAAATCTCGTCATATCGGTTTCGAGTACAGACTTTGCAACCTTGACGTCAAGTTTCAGCTCGAGCAGCTCAGTCTCAAGTACATATCTTAGCTCAACATATAACACGTATCTGACTAGTACAGACCCTAGCTCAACTTCAGATACTACGTCAACATTCAGCACGTCTCGGATTCCTGAGGTCGTTGTCCTCGCATACAGCGACCCCAACGCCATCTCATCCTCCGATGTATCCGCGGACCCTCCGGCCGACGCCCCTACATCTGGTGGTTCCTCTGCAATTTCTTCTCCCGAGACTTCTTCGGCTTCTGCAACCTTCACACTTACGACCACTATCTTACTGGATAACGACCTTTCTCCTAGCGCATCTTCTGGCTCTATTACGTTCCCGGATAGTACTGTTCCTTCGGAGACGTCTTCTGCCGCCACATCTAATTCCACCCTATTAGCAGGCAACGCAGCTCCGTTCAGCGCGTCTCTTGGTTCTACAACATCTACACCCTATCCAAGGGATTTGAGTACGTCCTCATCCTCTGCCGTCTCTCCCGTTTCCAGTGCGCCTATATCCACTCTCTCATTAGGAAATACCATTTTGTCTGGTACATCTCCCAGCTCGACACCAAATTCTGGTGATTCGAGCACATCCATCCCCATATCGAGCTCGTCTTCAGAAATTGGGTATTCTGCGACTACCAGCACGTCTGCGAACTTTTCAGTCTCTACGTCGACATCAAAGGTGTCTTCAAGCTCTCAATATCGCAACATAAATGTAGAGATCGCGGTGCCGCAAACCTCCGCGTCTGCCAGTTCGTCCTCAACACCTGGAAGTTCTACGCCTGCCAGCACCTCATCAGCTGCTGCTACCTTCACGTTCTCTTCCAGCGCTGGTCCGAGTCCGGCGACTTCAACACCAACGTCAAGCACGTATTCCGCTGCTGTAGGCTCCACGCCTTCATCCATCATAGTTTCAACTCCTTTGAGCTCTACGTCTATTCTCAGCACATCTTCAACTCCTGCAACATCGATGCCGATATCCGGCACGTCCTTGGCTTCTGCAAGCTCGACATCAACTGCAAGCTTTTTGACTCCGTCCAGCACGTTTCCGAGCAGCACAATTTCACCTCTATCGACTAGTGCTTCAGCTATCCCGGCGTCTATGTCATCATCAAGCGCATCTCGAAGCGCTGCAGCATCCATCACATCGTCTACTATTTCCTCCAGCGCGCCTTCGTCCAACGATATACCGACCTCTAGCTCATCCTCGGTCTCTGCAAATTCCTCCTCCTTTTCAAGCGGATCCTCAAGTTCCACGGAATCGGGTTTAAGCTCCAGTACAAGTACGTACTCACGAAAAGTTCGACCCTACGTGGAACCATCTATACCCTCTTCGAGCCCAACTCCAAGCTCCACGAACACCGAGTCGAGTTCAAGTTCGAGTTCGAGTATCTACTCACGAAGAGTTCAGCTTTATGCGGCAACAACCTCTGCGCAATCTTCGAGCTCATCTTCAATTTCGAGCACGAGCATATACTCACGAAGAGTACAACTTCTGGTGGTAACCCCCACGCCTTCTTCAACAGCGTCTTCGGTCCCGGGATCGACTTCCAGTACGAGTATATACTCAAGAAAGGTTCAACCGCTCGTGGTCCCCTCTACGCCCTCTTCCAGCGCCGCCCTTTCAAGCTCCACAGTCCTCGGGTCAAGGTCCAGTACAAAGCCAACAACAACAGCAACAGCAACAGCAACACCCTCTTCAAGCTCCACAGTCCTCGGGTCAAGTTCCAGTACAAAGCCAACAACAACAGCAACAGCAGCACCCTCTTCAAGCTCCACAGTCCTCGGGTCAAGTTCCAGTACAAAGCCAACAACAACAGCAACAGCAGCACCCTCTTCAAGCTCCACAGTCCTCGGGTCAAGTTCCAGTACAAAGCCAACAACAACAGCAACAGCAGCACCCTCTTCAAGCTCCACAGTCCCCAGGTCGAGTTCCAGTACAAAGCCAACAACAACAGCAACAGCACCACCCTCTTCAAGCTCCACAGTCCCCAGGTCGAGTTCCAGTACAAGCATATACTCACGGAGAGTCCAACCCCTAGTGGTATCGTCAAGCACGACTACCGTTTCCACGGTGCCCGTGTCGAGCACTGTCACTTCACTGAAAGTCCAAACCGTACTGGTGACTCTGAGCACAGTCCCAAGTCACACGGTCTCTGTGTCGACGACCACCATCACATCACGAAGAGTCCAACCTCTGGCGTTCTCTTCAAGTACTTCCTCGAGTTCGACGGTCCACACCTCGAGCTCTGTTACCACGCGGAGAGTTCAGCGGAACGCGGCGGTGGCGGCAGGCGCGGAGACTCCTACGCGGGCCAAATCTTCGTCCACATCTGCTAAACCGCCTACTACCCTATCCACCCTGACCAGGGCGGTCGCTCGCGTGGAGGGCTAGACACTGGTTTCTAATGCCTATGAATAATGTGAAATTTCGAGACGGAGTCAATTCGTGTGTATGGCGGATGTAATCTGTGTACAATAAGAAGAAGTACTGGCTACAGTAGTAGAAGTCTAATGCAATGTCCAGCGGATTTTCGTAATAGTGCCCACAAAACGAGAAAAAAGCCAGCGTCCTCGCTGCACAGGCCATTGGAGATGCGGGAGATGCGGGAGATGCGGGAGATTTGCCGCATATAATAGCCTTGGTTCTCTAGTTCCTTCTTCATGATTTGCAGGCCATTTACCTAACACTATGCTTCGTCACTTGGTGTCATCGTGATCGTAGTCGTCATCATAATCACAGTCATCCCTTTCCTTCGCCTTGGGAGGCATCTAGCGCCTCGTGGTAGTCATGGGGGATGGGAGTATCGTAAATAGCGAACGCGGTCCGTGCTTATGGATCTAGGAGCGCCTTGGGCTGTGGAGTCTTTTGAGACGTAGCGGAGTTACAAGGCGGGAATAGATGCTGCTGGCGGCTGAACTGAGGAGCTCTCCGCTCACAAGACTGGCGATTTAGTGTGACATCGCTGGGATAAGGGTCTCTTCGCCTCCCGAAGTACTGGTATGCCTCGAATCATGCACGCTTCTTAGCCTTCAATTGCTTAATGAATTTCTGTATACCAGTGGCTCCGTGAGGCGCATTGAGATTAATACGAAGATGTGGTTGGAAATGTCTGTATGTAATTGTGGTTGTTGAGATTTGCTGCAGCACCTGTGTTGTAGCTACCCCTTCATGGTGGCAATCAGGTGGCAAATGGGGGTATAAGTAGCCTTCTCTCAGCACTCTCATAGCTACTTAATCAATCAATCCTTCATACATTTTCCAACAGTGGTTCGCTCAGCCTCGGGTCTGTCGTCGTGACTTGTAAGTTCTAGAGTTTCGTGGAGGCAGCTCGCTTAACATCTGCATCGGAACGTGCGTAGTGAGTTTATTTCAATTGCTAAAGCATGAGGGCTGGTGCTGGCCTGTAGCGCTGAACCATCTCGTCAAATCAAGTTTGTATGCTTGGTGCCTCACAAATGGTAGCCTTACCGCTGTAATTAAGCTCTACTTCGTATCAAGCCTTCGCTGCACTTCTGAATGACAGGCTTTGATTTGATTGAGCTAATCCGTGACCACGTAGTGCGGTGACTCGCTTGATCCGGTCCGCAAATATGTAGATATCCTCCCGTGATATGTGTGGCTCTGGTGCGTGCAAAGTCAGTAGCACGTACTGAACCCTCGTATCTTAGGTCTGGTCTACCACAGTGGTCTCCCCACCGTCCCTTCCAGCGTTCCCCCCATTCACCCCCCCCCTCCCCCAAGAGAACCCTGGTTGTCTGCAGGCCATTGGTGTTTCTATTTGTCTGGCCCAAAGCCCGAGGGTTTTGGGCGCCTCACTCCCCACCGCCCCCACCCGCCGCAGGCGCTGCCCACGCAGCGAGCGAGCCCCCCACCTCCACCCCCAACAAAAACCTGGTTGCTCGAAGTTTGGGCCGATGGCCTAGGGTTTTGAGGGCCTCACCCTTCAATGGTCCCACCCGCGGCAAACGCAGCCCACGCTGCGGCTGCAGCAAAGGGGTGGGCCTTTTTTCACTTTCGCCAAAAACATTTCTATAGTTCTTTCTCCGTCTTTATTCACTCTCCTTCTCTTCACAGTTCAATCGTGAGGTCAAGAAGATCAATGTTGAAATGACAAATAATGCAAGACGGATCTACAAGATTGCTAAACAACACTATGCTCCTATCCAAACCTGATACAATACAAACGACCCACATACTCCCGCCCTACCCCTTCAATTACCCTCACAATTTCGCCCTGTCGCGCAGAATGATGAACACTCGGGAACCCTTACATGCCAGCCCACTGATGACCCATGAGCCTGTTGGCAACGGACTGAACATAGGTAGCCGTAGCACCAACGGGGTCGTTGAGATCGTTCTGGTCCACAGACCCAGAGTTGTAGCCGCGGAAAACCTCGTAGTAGTTGTTGTACCTCGCATACAACTGCTTCAAGCCATCTCCGGACGCGGTACCTTCAGTACCGTCGCGAACCATTTGGAGAATGCTGCCTTGGGGGTCGCTAGGGTTGAAAGCGACACCAGCGTGGGACTGCATGATACCAGGGTTTCCGACACCGTTGTTGGTGGTACCGACACGGACGTTGCCGCCGGATTCTTGCATAATGACGCAAAGGATAGCGCGGGCATCGATGCCGGACTCGGGGGCGACTTGGTCGATGGCAGCCTTGATGAAGCCGACTTCGCTGGGGCTGTCGTTAAGGGCCATCAGGGTGGAGTTCTGGGACCAGAGGGTGTCGTAGCTGGCCCAGGTGCTTGGGTCAGGGAAGTTGGAAGCGGGGCCGCTGTACGCAACATAGCCACCACCGACACTGGAACCGCCGCCGTTGCTGGGTGCCGAGCTTCCACCGCCAGGGAGGTTGATAACTTGGCCGACTTGAAGGGAGCTGGGGTTTACTCCAGGGTTTGCGGCCTCGATGGCAGCGACGGTGGTACCGTGGGCTTGAGCGATGGACCAGAAGTTGTCGCCTGATACGATGGTGTAAGACATTTTGTGGTGTTGGGGTTTGGCTTTCGGTTTTGGGCGTTTGGGTTCTGGGCTGTGCTGGTTCTGCTTGCTTTGGTTCTGAAAGCTTTGATTGAGGGTGTCTTGGTTCTCGTGAATACTCGATATCTTCATTTATGTATATGCTCTTCTATGAGAAAGACCAGAGGAAATCTACAGATACTTATATTCTCACCTTGAATCCTCACCAGGCAGAAATAGAAACATGAGACATTCGAGGTCGTTTCCGAGGCTGGTGAAGGATCTCAAAGGATGGGTCCATCACTTCGCCATTTCTGCATTGCGGCCCAGAGTAAGCAAATAGTGTACGCAAGAGTGTCGATTTCCTACGTTCACTGTCCGTGACCCAAGATCGAAGCTGACAAGTGGCCTTGCGATCTGTCTTCGAAGCACTGTTTAAGCAACAAGCATTAGATGACGCCGCCCACCACCCTAACTATATTTCCCCGTTAATGATTTCTAAACATCAAATCAATGACGACAGTGAGGGAACATAGCTGCAGTGATTCATAATGTTTGACGCATAGTAAACTCCTTTGCATAAATCCGCTTCTGTGGCAACCGAAACAAGAGAGTCGGATGTCTGCTATCATTACACAAGTCGATGTTTTATCCTACATGAACGGCGGAAATTCCTGGGTTCCTGAGGTTCCTGAGATATCTGGTGACTAGATCCGGAAGTAATGAGACTGATCTTGATCCGTGGGAATACCTGTAACAGAGGCCAGATTCTTTTAGAACGTAACACAGTCAGAATGTTGCATTCATCGAGGTGGGATGATGCGGACTATCCTTCACGAACGTGCATTGGGGCTGTGGTTTCCATTTCAACAGTATGGAGGAAGAGATGGAGCGGGATGGGAGGCGGAGTTGCAACTGAAAACTGTTAAGACCACGGGAGTGTTGTTTTAGTGCTACGAGAAGTGCCCTTAGCGATCGACGACGGCGACACGATTCGCTCGAGCCACTTTATCATGAAACGCAAGGCGAAGCATCGCAGTCCTTGGCGAAAAGGCCATCGTGATACTGTGTTCTCTGCTATATTCCGCAGTGCCCTGATCGACTGCTCCGTCGAATCCCACACTCGTGGGTCGAGCCACAAGGAGAAGGCCAACGTGTCTTCTATCTCCTACAGATCATACTACCCGTCTTCTGCCTAAGGCGTTGGAGGAATAGCCCCCCGGAAGTGCCATGGTATTCTAGAGATCAACGGGGCGTTGCGGAAAGATGCTGCTGTCCTCGGAGAAACCACCGGTCTTTTGGAAGAGATGTGGGATAATAGTCCAATGAGATGCCACAGTCAATTGGGCAAGATTATGTGAAAATGACACATTCTAAGGGGTTTCTAACTTCAAAAGCTGCTGTCTTGGGTCCTATCAGCCACTGAAACACGCTATCCTGAGGCGCCTTCGAACTCGAAGAAGCTCTTCGATTATTACATGAAGCTTGACATTTTCAAGACGTGCGCCGATCTCACCACCCTTGAGCAAGCTGTGTACGTTGATCTTGGACCCTTGACCCGATAGATACCGCACAAAGATCTCCGAGATGCACCTCAATCCCTTGCATCGTCTCCAGAACCACTGGGTCTGAGGATGGGAACGGAGAAGGAACCGACGAGGAGGAGGAAGATGTAGATAAGCACTTTTCCGGAAACAATAGTGGAAAGGTTACCGATGCTGCAGACGGACGAACTGTGATCTACAAACACGGAGAACTAGAAGGAAGAAGGGCCAAGACTACAGCAAGTCTCCCCAGCGTCCCCAGCGGTCCTGAGGCAAGCAGGGGCTTCGGGGGAGAAGAGACCATGAGAGGTTGAGACGGAAACTAGGATATCAGAGAAGACAAAGGAAGGATAGCGGATGATCTCTCAGACCAAAAGATGGTGATACGGAAATTGGGATATCAAAAATAATAAAGGAGGGAAATAGATGGTTCTGGTGTAGATTTTGCTGACGAAGTTACTCGGAGCATCATACTCGTCTTGAGTGGATATGAAAAAAGACATGG